TGAGACAGTGATGTTATATGCGATACATCTACCGATATTGATGACATTTACAAACACAGAAATATGTCTTGCGCTCCACCAGTTCATCCCAAATCTGGAGATATATATATGTTTCAAGTTAATGACCAAAAACAATGGGATGTCTAAAGTGTGACAGAATAAAATGAAAATGCAAAGGGGTACACAAACTACCCAGAACTGATCCACGTGTAGTAAAGCGCTACTATGCTACAAATGGGGGAAAATTCACGAAAAGCGCTTATCGCCTGCTGGAAGTTGTATGTTTGACAACATACATGTTTCAAGATATAAAAGTAAGTATTAGGCCTTCATCTTTTGGGACAAGTGTCCAAGCGGAGAAAAGACTAACACTAACAGGATCAACAAGATAAATTGTAAAGTTAATTGAAGAGGGACTACAGTCAAGACACAGGAAGAAAAAGAAATAAAAAGCAAGGTGTAAGAAATTTGAAAGAGCTGAAGTGGAGCCCAGTCACGGGACCTTGTCATAAGCAGGGTACATGAAGAAACAGGATCAGGTTCGTTTAGAATTTAATGAGACTTTGTGCGATGCAGATGTGGTACACTAGACATTTTAAGTGGCAATGTCTGTAAAGGCAACCACGATTTCCCCACATTGATGGAGTCATAGAAATAATCAAATGGTCAAATTTCTGTCAGCATCACACTGCAAGGCGTCTACGTTGAAGGGAAGTAGTTTAAGTAGTCTGTCTGGTACGGTTTGACCTTGGGCATAGAAATATGTAAAGGTCACATAAATATGTAAATATGGAAATATGTAGAAATAAATATGAATGAATGGATGTGGGAATTTTTTAACACAGTTTGAACTAATGAATGGATGAGATGAATAGGGAATAGGTATGGGAATAAGGAATTGGGTACAGTTTGACCTATTCTATGGGAAAGATTGTATAAGGTATGAAAAAAAAAAATTACAATTTCAATAGAATATGTATCTACATGTAATTGCAACCGAGTGGTGCAATGTGAACGAACAGCTGGTGGGATCTTTAATCCCCCCAACAATAGACGGGAAGTGTTGTTGTATAACTGTCCATGTGGTCGGTGGACTATGGATTGATGGTTAATCCGATCGATTGCGCACGAGCCTAGTGGGCTGTCGGCACGTTATGTGGGGATTAATACCGGACAATGGGACTGTAAATGGTGCGCGAATTGGAGGACAGTGAACTACCGATCTCCGAAGTGAATTTCTTGCGACGGTGCAATCCTTGTAAAGTTAGGGAATTTTTAGAATTAAAAAACAAAATCATCGTTCTGAAACAACATCAAGCGAAAGCGGTCGGAAACACCTCCACTAGTTGAATTAACTGAAACAAGCAATCGTTTTTCTCGATTAAATTATCTGGCTTCTGAGATAACAGAGAAACAATTGAGCAAACTGGCGTCTAATCTTTTAAAAGAAAACGATCACGTAGCTACACGATTTGGAGGTCGACCGTGGGAAGAGCTTGTTTCCTTTCTCGGTTTGTCGGCTGCAGATATTTATAAACACCGTCAAGAGAATATGTTTAACGACTGGGCTCAAATTTTTTACTCTTTTATTCAGTGGAAGCATCGTTACTATAAAAATGCCACGATCGAAAAGATAATAATCGGGTGTCAACAGTGTAATATTACTCATAGCGCGTACGACTTTTTGTACCCAAAGTAAAGGTATTTGAAGGGAAAAATATCGTATTTTCGTTTGAACCACCCACGGCGTGAGATCAAGTCAGCTGTGCGTGGAAAGTGCGGTGATTGCACAACATCTTTTCAATAGAAGAAATAATCCATTTTTATTGATCTGACATGATCCTATATGCCGTCATAATCTATTTTTTAGGGATGTCGTCACAATCTATTTTTAACCTCTGCGTTTCACAAGATTGCGCAATATCTCCTTGAAAAACGACATAAAAGCGCGTGGAACAGAGACAGTTTCCACATTTGTCTTCCATAATTTAAAATGGATGGTGGTCAGAGTAAAACACGCGCAGTTTGGTCTCCAAAAAGCGACGCATTGCTGTCATATAGACCAGGCTATAGTTGGGATTCAACAGGCGGTCTAAACGAAGTTTCAGAACTTCGAAAAGAATCGGAACAGGTCGATAGGTATAATCTCATGGCTCAAGTACCTATGGATATAAAAAAGTCGAAGTTAATTAAAACGGACGAGGAAGCTAGAAAAAAATCATTGTTAGAAAAACGAATGACGACACAATCAGCGGCATCAAAAGCAACAAAACGTACGGGAGATCAAATGCTTTACCGCAGATTAAAATTGACGGACACTAGACACGTTGTTGTCGAAACATTTAGGGATATAAATTATATAAAAGTTAGAGATTATTCTCAAATTAAGACAAAAGGATTTCCGTTTGTTCCCGGACGAGGGATTAACCTCACCGTATCGGATTGGTCCAAATTAAAGGCGCTTATACCGCGTACCGGCGATCGATGTGGCAGTCCAAGAGGCAGATCTATGCATTGGTTAAAACAGGACAGTGAGTCTTAGAAATGGCAGTGACTAAAGTTTTGGATAAAAAGGGCAGGGTTGGTCTTCAAGATCCATCTCGCTTCAGCTTTTCAACAATCGTCATCATCATCAGCAGCATCATCATCATCATGGCCAGGCAAATCTTTTTTGGGGAGAACTTTGACGCCCAGGAAGAGTGGCGTCGTTTGGATGCCTCGGTGCGTGACGACCCTATGTGGGCCCCAGTGTCACAACCAAGTTGGGAAATGGGTAAGTTATCGGGGTTTTTTTCGTGTCTGTTATCTACCGTACCGTAACCCATGTCCGTCTGTACCGAGTGCATTTAAAGTGATCAAAACTCCTCTATGTACCTTGTTTATGCGAGCGTTCGTTTTGTCAGTATTTTTATGTTTGTTCTTATTATTTTCTTTTAAAATTAATGCTCCCCATATATATTGACCGTAGATGTGAGGGGTGTATCTTAGATTACCCCTCACAAAAAAAACATAGTTGCATGTCAGAAACGAAAGAAAACCTTTTAAATTGGTATTTAGAGGATATGCTAGAGGACCTCTGTGACAACAGACATGAAGAATGCCTGGATACATGGTTGTTAGAAGTCGAACGCAATGAAGAATTACAAATGTATTTTAGAAATTCCAATATGGCCCTTCTCGATTTATGCCATTTCTTGTGTAGCGATTTGCAGCAAGAGAAAAATTTATACATTTTAAAACACTTTATTTTACACTATTAGTATTTTAAGTTTTTTTTTTTTCTTCAAGGCTGTTTCCACAGAGATCCTCTTTTTTAATTTTTTTGTTTTGCTTCGTTTGTTGTTTGTTCGTTTGTTTGTTTTTTAAATTGTTTATTTAACTATCATAAAGTTGTGTGTATGTGTGTAAAGATTTCATCCGTAACAAAACCAAAAAGTTAAAATTTGATATATTAATTTAATTGTGTGAAAAGTGTTAGACAAAAAGAAAAAAACTTTGTAAAAAAAAACAAACTCCAATTTGATCGTACTTGTGGGAGTTCAATAATTGTACAGCATACCGTGTGCATGAGTATCCTGATTAAGGAAGGTTGTATGCAAATTGGGATTCTGAACACCCCTGGGCAACCAATAAAAACAGAACATCGCTTGCGGGACGTGCGCAAACTTCATTGCGGACGTTGTATGCACTCTCCCTTTATTTTGCCGCGCTAGGATTGCGCGGCAGCCAATCAGCGCATTGTTTTCTATCGGGAGTGCGCAGATTCACTTTTAGTCACTAGAAACATCAACGCACGATTGAAAACTTTTTTTACACCCGAATTTCGGGTTTAATTAGAATTTGAATTACGAGCAATTGGCGCGTGAGGAGTCCGCAAAGACAAGGATATGCCAAGAGGTAGGCCCAAACGCAGGCCAGAGTCCGTACGGCCGTCATCGGGGCCACGAAAGAGAGCTTGCAGATCTTCGTCAGCGCCACAGAGAAGCTCGGCACGTCAGGCCGCAGTCCATGTCGCCGAGATTCACGGTGGGCCAAGTGTCGTCAGGGCACCAGGTCATGTTTTAAAGGTGTTTGAAATGATGACTTCATTGTTAATAATATTAAAGGGGGCAAACTGTATCAGATAGTCATTTTTAACTTCTGCTCCAATGAGTCAAGATCATGGATGATAAAGGACGGGTGGATTACTTAAAGACTTTATATTACGACATAGATTGTGAAAGCGGCTTGGGTAGTATTGACAAGTTGGATTCGCGCAGCTAAGCAGGAGGGGAAGTTCAAGATAATGCGAAAACAAATTCGAGACTTTCTCAGGGGTCAGGATGTGTATACTTTGCCCCGGTGCAGAATCCACCCTTCCTACCGCCCAATGACGACCTCTTCACGGAGGCTACAATTTTACTGTATATTTTTGTTTCTCAATTTTTAAAATTAATGCTTCCTATTTATATTGATTGTAGATGTGAGGGGTGTGCCATAGATCACCCCTCACAAACAAAACATAGTTGTATGATGGAAACAAGAGAGAACCTTTTAAATCGGTATGTAGAAGATATGTTAGAGGACCTCTAACATGAAGAATGCATCGATACATGGTTGTTAGAAGTCAAACACAATGAAGAATTACCGATGTATTATAGACAGCCCGCTAGAAAGAGATATCCGAGGAATAGAATTTTGACCGAGGGACGAGACGAGATACACGAGTTGGACTTGGTGGATGTTCTAACTTATCAAAGTACGGGATACAGAGGCTGCTTATGCAAACAAACGATCGTCTTCCAACGTGCATTCCCTAACCCCAAGGATCAGAAGCCAGCAGCATACCGTCAGGCATCCAGACTAGCTGTTATTTAGTAAAGGGACTATGCAATGAATTTTTAATGCAATCCTTAAAAATGCAGCTTTGGGTTCATCCCAACCATTCTCCTGTGTTTCTTAATCCCCTTTCATCTACTCAACACTGGTCCCCATTCCCCCCCCCCAGCAATCCCCCTTAATCCCCCTCCCCCACACTCCTTTGTTCCCTAATCCCCTTTCATCCACTGGACACTGGTCCCTCCTCCAACCCTTCCTGATTGCCTGACCCATGCATTTTTTTTGTCACTGTGTCATTTGCCTCTGAAGAAGTCTTTGCTAAAGACTTCTTATATCAGGCCTCTCAAATATTTGATGAAGCCATCAAAGAAGTGGCAGACGCGTGAATTGGGTTAGAATAAATTTGGCGGGAATTTCAATGAACAAAGACGAGGGAAGTGGTTAAAAGGGGAAGGGTTGGCCCTCTCGGCCCATCTTGCACTTACACCGCTGAAAGCCATCATCGTCATAATCATCTAGCGTACACCATGTCGCGATATTTTTTCAACGAGAACTTCAATGCCGAGGAGGAGTGGGTGAGACTGTTTGCCCTTGTGGGGAACGACCCGATGTGGGGACAAGCCGTCCCGCACGCACCTCTTGCCGCAACTGCGCATCGTCCGAGTTGGGAAATGGGTAAGTAACATTATTTTGAGTCTGATATCTATACCACATTCTCGTGCGTCTGTCACAAAGCTCCCTTAAAGTGATCCGTTTCCTATTTTTCCGTATTTTTATGGCTCTATTTTAATTTTTGCAACACGCAGATCCTGCCCAAGATGCTCAACATCGAGAGGCTGAACTCATTGACCTCACCTTATCCGATGACGGTAAGTTTCTTTTACATATCTAACCGTGTTCACATTTGTCTGTGTAACGCGAACGATGTTATCAGAAAAAAGTAAAGTAAAGCAGATTTGTATTGTTTCATTTTATACGCAGATGACGACGAGGTGTTTGAACCATTAGGCCCATCACCGATTCCACCGCCCAGCCCGGCTCTCGCTCTGCCTCAGACTCCACCGCCCATCCCAGCTCCCGCTCCCGCACAAGTTGCCTCGGCGCAGAATCCACCCTTCCTACCGCCCAATGACGACCTCTTCACGGAGGTTTCAATTTTATTATATATTTTTATTTCTAAATATTTAAAATTAATGCTCCCCATATATATTGACCGTAGATGTGAGGGGTGTATCTTAGATTACCCCTCACAAAAAAAACATAGTTGCATGTCAGAAACGAAAGAAAACCTTTTAAATCGGTATTTAGAGGATATGCTAGAGGACCTCTGTGACAACAGACATGAAGAATGCATCGATACATGGTTGTTAGAAGTCGAACGCAATGAAGAATTACAGATGAATTATAGACATCCCGATATGGCCGTCCTCCTGCCTAATGACGACCTCTTCACGGAGGCTACAATTTTACTGTATATTTTTGTTTCTCAATTTTTAAAATTAATGCTTCCTATTTATATTGATCGTAGATGTGAGGGGTGTATTAAAGATCATCCCTCACAAACAAAACATAGTTGTATGATAGAAACAAGAGAGAACCTTTTAAATCGGTATGTAGAAGATATGTTAGAGGGCCTCTGTGACAACAGACATGAAGAATGCATCGATACATGGTGGTTAGAAGTCGAACGCAATGAAGAATTACAGATGTATTATATCCCGATATGGCCATTCTCGATTTGTACCATTTCTTGTGTAGCGAATTGCAGCAAGAGGAAAAATTAGACATTTTCAAACAGTTCATTTTACATTATTAGGATTTTTTTCTTCAAGGCTGTTTCCACAAAGATCCTTGTTTTGCTTCTTTTTTTTTTGGAATGTGCTAACCCTTGTTTTGTAGTTTTTCACAGTAGTAATATTTTCATGAGGAGATTTACTTTTATTAAATTGCGTATTTGTTCTGTTTTTTTATAACTGTTTTATAAAAGTTTGATTCCTTTAAATGTTTGTAATTTTTATTCCTTTTTAATGTGTGTGATTTTTTATTCCTTTAAATATATATTTTTTTAATTCAAATAGAAAAAAAAACCTTGTAGAACAATTATTTAAAAAATCTTGCGTTTGAAATAAAATGGTTGTGAATGTACTTTTTGCCCTCCTGCTTTGTTTTTTGTTTGAAACTTAAACTAAATAAATAAATAACTAAAATTAAGGAAAGAAAAAAAGAAATAATAAAATAAAGAATAATATTAAGAAAAAGAAGAAGGAAATAAACATTATAATAATAATATGAAGAAAATAAACAAATCAAATAAAAAGAAAAATATAGAAAGAAAGCATGAAAAATGCTAATAATAATTATGAAAAAAAATGATACTGAGCCTCACCGTTAGTATTAAAAGGAATTTAACTCTATCAAACGGACATTTTTAACTTTGGATTCGATAAGACAGGATCATGGATGATAAAGGACGGGTGGATTACTTAAAGACTTTATATTATGACATAGATCGTGAAAGAGGCTTGGGTACGGTAGTATTGACAAGTTGTATCGCGCGGCTAAGCAGGTGGGGAAATACAAGATAACGCGAAAACAAATTCGAGACTTTCTTAGGGGTCAGGATGTGTATACTTTACATAAGCCCACTAGAAAGAGATATCCGAGGAATAGAATTTTGGCCGTGGGAGGAGACGAGATACATGAGTTGGACTTGGTGGATGTTTCTAGCTGAGGTGCAATGCATTTGGTAATTAACCCCCAAAGAGCCCTTAGGGGGCTAGGGTTAATCTTAATTAACCCCTCTTTCCCTCATTCAAGCTAATACCACATTCATCATCACTTTTCCTTTGTTCCTCCTGCTTCATTCAGTTTCCCCATCCCTACCACACTCCATTGTTCCCTAATTTAATGATGCTCCCCCTTCAATGACTTCAAAAGCATGTACACATGTGCAGGGCTGGTGGAACAGGGCACTTGGCACTTCAGATACATATATTGGGGTTCTTGCAGTTGATAGTGAAGTTCATCTTTTCTTCCAGCATCGAGTCTTCGCCCCAGCTAGTTTCAGCACTTAATTACATCGCTAGTGCTCCTCTCTTGCGGACAAAAATGTGCCCCCTCTTGTGGACATAAATGTGCCCCCTCGAACATAAATGTGGCCCTCGCTATGAAAACAAAACTGGCTCTCTAATTTTGTATTGTTTGCAGTGACCATTTCCTGAAATGGTATAGAGAGTTCTGACATGAATGATGAATATGAAAGTCAAGCCCAAAACCCTTACGATGTGCACTGAAAATGGGCACATAATGCATAGTTTGCATAATTGCCAGTTTAGAAGAGCACAACCTATTTGGGAAGATGGTACCATGGGAGGAAAGGTCCATGTATGATGAAAACCAGAAAACATTCATCATGAGATTCTAACTGTGTCACCTTATTGTTGTATAATTTTAGTTGACAAGTGAACTGCCATCTGAATAAAAAAATCTCTTTTTTAACCAAGTTTACTTCTCCACTTACAGAGGCTGCTTAAGCAAACAAACATTCCTTTTCCAACATGCATTTCCTAACCCCAAGGATCAGAAGCCAGCACCATACCATCAGGCATCCAGACTAGCTGTTATTTGGTAAAGGGACTATGCAATGAATTTTTAATGCAATCCTTAAAAATGCAGCTTTGGGTTCATCCCAACCATTCTCCTGTGTTTCTTAATCCCCTTTCATCTACTCAACACTGGTCCCCATTTCCCCCAGCAATCCCCCTCCCCACACTCCTTTGTTCCCTAATCCCTTATCATCCACTGAACACTGGTCCCTCCTCCAACCCTTCCTGATTGCCTGACCCATGCATTTTTGTCACTGTGTCATTTGCCTCTGAAGAAGTCTTTGACATCTTATATCAGGCCTCTCAAATATTTGATGAAGCCATCAAAGAAGTGGCAGACGCGTGAATTGGGTTAGAATAAAGTTGGCGGGAATTTCAACGAACAAAGACGAGGGAAGTGGTTAAAAGGGGAAGGGTTGGCCCTCTCGACCCATCTTGCACTTACACTGCTGAAAGCCATCATCGTCATAATCATCTAGCGTACACCATGTCGCGATATTTTTTCAACAAGAACTTCAATGCCGAGGAGGAGTGGGTGAGACTGTATGCCCTTGTGGGGAACGACCCGATGTGGGGACAAGCCGTCCCGCACGCACCTCTTGCAGCACCTGCGTATCATCCGAGTTGGGAAATGGGTAAGTAACATTATTTTGAGTCTGATATCTATACCACACTCTCGTGCGTCTTAAAAGTTATCCGTTTCCTATTTTTCCGTATTTTTATGGCTCTATTTTAATTTTTGTAACACGCAGATCCTGCCCAAGATGCTCAACATCGAGAGGCTGAAATCATTGACCTCACCTTGTCCGATGACGGTAAGTTTCTTTTACATATCTAACCGTGTTCACATTTGTCTGTGTAACGTGAACAATGTTATCAGAAAAAAGTAAAGTAAAGTAGATTTGTATTATTTCATTTTATACGCAGATGACGACGAGGTGTTTGAACCATTAGGCCTATCACCGATCCCACCGCCCAGCCTGGCTCTCGCTCTGCCTCAGACTCCACCGCCAAGCCCAGTTCCCGCTCCCGCACAAGTTGCCCCGGCACAGAATCCACCCTTCCTACCGCCCAATGACGACCTCTTCACGGAGGTTTCAATTTTATTATATATTTTTATTTCTAAATATTTAAAATTAATGCTCCCCATATATATGGACCGTAGATGTGAGGGGTGTATCTTAGATTACCCCTCACAAAAAAAACATAGTTGCATGTCAGAAACGAAAGAAAACCTTTTAAATTGGTATGTAGAAGATATGCAAGAGGACCTCTGTGACAACAGACATGAAGAATGCCTGGATACATGGTTGTTAGAAGTCAAACACAATGAAGAATTACAGATGTATAATAGAAATCCCGATATGGCCATTCTCGATTTGTACCATTTCTTGTGTAGCGAATTGCAGCAAGAGGAAAAATTAGACATTTTAAAACAGTTCATTTTACATTATTAGGATTTTTTTCTTCAAGGCTGTTTCCACAAAGATCCTTGTTTTGCTTCTTTTTTTTTTTTGGAATGTGCTAACCCTTGTTTTGTAGTTTTTCACAGTAGTAATATTTTGATGAGGGGATTTACTTTTTATTAAATTGCGTATTTGTTCTGTTTTTTATAACTGTTTTATAAAAGTTTGATTCCTTTAAATGTTTGTAGTTTTTATTCCTTTTTAATGTGTGTGATTTTTAATTCCTTTAAATGTATGTATTTTTTAAATTCAAATTGAAAAAAAAAACCTTGTAGAACAATTGTTTAAAAAATCTTGCGCTTGAAATAAAATGGTTGTGAATGTACTTTTTGCCTTTCTGCGTTGTTTTTTGTTTGAAACTTAAACTAAATAAATAAATATCTAAAATTAAGGAAAGAAAAAAGAAATAATAAAATAAAAAATAATATTAAGAAAAAGAAGAAGGAAATAAACATTATAATAATAATATGAAGAAAATAAACAAATAAATTACAAAGAAAAATATAGAAAGAAAGCATGAAAAATAATAATAATAATTATGAAAAAATTTGATACTGAGCCTCACCATTAGTATTAAAAGGAATTTAACTCTATCAAACGGACATTTTTAACTTTGGCTTCGATAAGACAGGATCATGGATGATAAAGGACGGGTGGATTACTTAAAGACTTTATATTATGACACAGATCTTGAAAGTGGCTTGGGTAGTATTGACAAGTTGTATCCCGCGGCTAAGCAGGTGGGGAAATACAAGATAACGCGAAAACAAATTCAAGACTTTCTTAGGGGTCAGGATGTGTATACTTTACATAAGCCTGCTAGAAAGAGATATCCGAGGAATATAATTTTGGCCGTGGGACGAGACGAGTTACACAAGTTGGACTTGGTGGCTGTTTCTAACTGAGGTGCAATGCATTTGGTAATTAACCCCCAAAGAGCCCTTAGTAGGGGGTTACGGTTAATCCTAATTAACCTCTTTTTCCCTCATTCAAGCTAGTAGTACCACATTCATCATCATGCAATGAATTTTTAATGCAATCCTTAAAATAAATGCAGCTTTAGGTTCATCCCAACCATTCTCCTGTGTTTCTTAATCCCCTTTCATCTACTCAACACTGGTCCCCATTTCCCCCAGCAATCCCCCTTAATCCCCTCCCTCACACTCCTTTGTTCCCTAATCCCCTTTCATCCACTGGACACTGGTCCCTCCTCCAACCCTTCCTGATTGCCTGACCCATGCATTTTTTGTTGTCACTGTGTCATTTGCCTCTGAAGAAGTCTTTGCTAAAGACTTCTTATATCAGGCCTCTCAAATATGTGTAGGATTTTTTTTTAACAAGAAACTTTATGGCCATTTTTTTTTTAACAAGAAACTTTATGGCCAAGTGGTCGAGACTGAATGTTGACCCAATGTGTCGTGCCATGCTTATTGACCACATGGGGCCTGATTACGGTAAGTTATTTTATCAGTTACTCAACAAGCAGTATTGAGTATAAGTAGCAAGTAGTAAGTATTTAGTAGTAAGGCCATTATTTCTCTCACATTTGTGAAATTGAAGAGGATCTCCTCTGTAAAGATAGAGATGTTTTGATGTTGCACTGGTTGAAGACAGTTCGGGCCAGTGGATTTGTAGGGAGATATTTTGAATTTGAAGAGGCAGCAGTGTCTGCCTTTGTGGAATATTCATTTCATGAGTTAAACGATAATACAACTCTACTAGAACTAAAACACTTTGTCGTTTAAAAGTTAAAAGGGACAACAACAACAAAAAGCCCACGAAGTCTCAGAATTTCGAAAAGAATCAGACAAGGTTGATAGGCATAATCTCATGGCTCAAGTACCTATGGATATGAAAAATTTAGGAAGGTACCTTACGTAAAGGTAAGGACTATCCACAAGTCAAGAGAAAGGGGTTTCCATTGTTTCCTGGGCGGGGAATTAACCACACCATATCCGATTGGTCCACAATGAAGGCACTTATACCGGCGATCGATGTGGCACTAGAAGAGGCAGATGTATGCATTGGTTAAAATAGGACAACGAGTCTAAGAAAATGCAGTGACTAAAGTTTTGAATAAAAAGGGCAGGGTTGGTCTTCAAGATCCATCTCGCTTCAGCTTTTCAACCATCGTCATCATTTTCAGCAGCATCATCTTCACTACAGATTATTATGGCCAGGCAACTCTTTTTTGGGGAGAGCTTTAACGCCAAGGATGAGTGGCGTCGTTTGGATGCTTCGGTGAATGGCGACCCTATGTGGGGACAAGGGCCGACTGTGCCACACCCGAGTTGGGAAATCGGTAAGTAATCAGGGTTTTTTTTCGTGTCTGTTATCAACCGTACAGTCAAAAACTCATGTCTGTCTGTACAAAGTGCATATAAGGTGATCAAAACTCCTCTATGTACCTTGTTTATATTTGTTTATGCGATCGTTCGTTTCGTCAGTATTTTTATGTTTTTTCTTATTATTTTCTTTAAAAATGCACAGATGACAACCAAGAAGACCAACAAGTCTTGGAAGAGGACTCTATTGATCTCACGGGGCCAGAGGCTCCAGAAGCAGTAGCGGCACGGCCAGATGCTCCGGAAGCAGCAGTGGCACGGCCAGAGGCTCCGGAAGCAGCAGCGGCAGCACCGCCAGAGGCTCCAGAAGCAGTAGCGGCGGCAGATGAAGACCTTGTACCGAGACCGTACTCCCCTCGCCCCAATTTTGATGTAAACGCAGAAGATCCAAATATAGAAGTAACGGGGCATTTATTGTGCTCCGTAGGCTTATACATAAGAACTGTCTTATTTCAATATGTGCGAAAAAATTGCTATGGTTGCTGCGTCGATCATCCATCGCAAAGACAACACAGTTGTCTGATGGATGACGCAGAAGACCATTACTACTCCCACATCCATGAAATCATTGAGGATCTTCTCCGAAATGACAGGGAAGTTCTAATGTTCCACTGGTTGGAAACAGTAAGAACCAGTGCATTTTTAAGGGCACATTATGTATTTGAAGAGGCAGAAATGTCTGCCCTTGTCGAATATTTATATAGCGAGTTGTGCGAAAACACAACTCTCATCAGCATCATCAGACAGCATCATCATCATGGCCAACGATAGTTTCAACGCCGAAGAAGAATGGGCGAGACTCGAGGCCCTCACGGGAAACGATCCGATGTGGGGACAAGGGCCCCCAGCACCACGCCCGAGTTAGGAAGTCAGTAAGTTATCAGGTTTTTTTTCGTGTTTATTATAAACCCATATCTGGTTGTACCAAGTGCATATAAAGTGATCAAAAACTCTTCTATGTACCTTGTTTATGCGAGCGTTCGTTTCGTCAGTGTTTTTATGGGTTTTTTCCCCCTTTTAAATAGGTAGATGTCCTACAGGGTTTAATGGATGAGGAGGCTGAAATCATTGACCTCACGGGATCCGATGACGATACGTTATTTTTTTCATCTTTATGTTTCGAATAAATTTTTTTGTGTGATGTAAACATTCTAATTTACCAAATGATCCAAAAAGATTCGAAAATACTAAATAGATATTTTTTTTCTTTTTAAAAAATGAGGAGATGGAGGTCATCGACCTCACGTAATCTGATGACGGTAAGTTTTTATCTTTTGTTGTTGTTGTTGTTGCTTTTTTTGGTTCCTTTTTTGTTTGAAAATGTTACGTTCCAGAAACGAGATAACGTTAGTATACATAAAAAGCATTATATTTAGTTATTTTTTGTATGTAATTATTTCGCAGAATTTGACTTAGAGGACTCGGTGTTTTATGAGTCCAGTCCCGACAGCCGGAGTCCAGCACCGAGTCTACAGCTCCCCAGCCCTGCCTTTCCAAGCCCCGCCTTCCCGAGCCCCCATTTTTGATTTTTTTGATTTTTTATGCGTTGATTTATTTGAACAACAGACCATAGAAGAACTCAAACCATACGTTGTAGGGGTGTAATGTGATGCAGCATTAGCAGTGCGTGTAGATATAGTGATTCTGATTTAATTTGTATTTTGTGCTTTTTCATTTTGTTTATTTCATTGCATTAATAGTTTGTATTTTGAATGTTTCCGTTTGTTTCTATAATTGCACATTTTTTTTAATTAACAAGATTTTTGGGGTTAATAATTGTAAATATTCGTGTGTTTACTTTTTGTTTTAACTTTAATAAAGAAGTTATTTTTTTATTTGTAAATATTTGTAATTTTTTAATTTACACAGAAAAATAAAATATTTTTTATGTGCTCACTTCAAATAAAATAAAAGGAAAGGCAAAAAAAAAGGTAAAAAAAGAATGGAGGGAAATACAAGAAAACGCGAAAACAAATTTGAGACTTTCTTAGTGGTCAGGATGTGTATACTTTACATAAGCCCGCTAGAAAGAGATATCCGAGGAATAGAATTTTGGCCGTGGGACGGGACGAGATACACGAGTTGGACTTGGTGGATGTTTCTACCTGAGGTGCAATTGCATTTGGCAATTAACCCCCAAAGAGTCCTTATGGAGTTACATGTAGGGTTAATCCTAATTAACCCCTCTTTCCCTCATTCAAGCTAATACCCCATTCATCATCACTTTTCCTTTGTTCCTCCTGCTTCATTCAGTTCCCCATCCCTACCACACTCCATTGTTCCCTAATCCTCTTTTAACCCTAATCGCCCCCATTGCTACAAAATACTACTACCCAGAATTGGTTTGGTAATTGTAATTGGGTTAGAATTACGCATGATCATTTAGTAACCAAAGAGAAACCACCGAACCAATTCTTGGTTATGACCGCCAAAACGCACCCCTAGTGGAACAGGGCACTTGACACTAGATATGGGGGTTCTTGCAGTTGATAGTGAAGTTCAGTTTTTGCCCCAGCTAGTTTCAGCACTTAAATACATCTCTTGCGGGAATAAATGTGCCCCCTCGAGCATAAATGTGCCCCTCGCGATGAAAACAAAACTGGCCCTTAAATTTCGTATTGTTTACAGTGACCATTTCCTGAAATGGTATAGAGAGTTCTGACATGAATAATGAATATGAAAGTCAAGCCCAAAACCCTTACAATGCACACTGAAAATGGGCACATAATGCGAAGTTTACATAATGCCCAGTTTAGAAGAGCACAACCTATTTGGGAAGATGGTACCATGGGAGGAAAGATCCATGTACGATGAAAACCAGAAAACATTCATCATGAGATTCTAACTGTGTCACCTTATTGTTGTATAATTTTAGTTAACAAGTGAGCGGCCATCTGAATAAATTTTAACCAAGTTTACTTCTCCACTAATACAGAGGTTGCTTTTAAAGCAAACAAACGATCGTCTTCCAACATGCATTCCTTAACCCCAAGATCAGAAGCCACCAGCATACCGTCAGACATCCAGACTAGTTGTTATTTAGTAAAGGGACTATGCAATGAATTTTTAATGCAATCCTTAAAAATGCAGCTTTGGGTCCATCCCAACCATTCTCCTGTGTTTCTTAATCCCCTTTCATCCACTCAACACTGGTCCCCATTCCCCCCAGCCATTCCCCCCAGCAATCCCCCTTAATCCCCCTCCCCCTACACTCCTTTGTTCCCTAACCCCCTTTCATCCACTGAACACTGGTCCCTCCTCCAACCCTTCCTGATTGCCTGACCCATGCATTTTTTTGTCACTGTGTCATTTGCCTCTGAAGAAGTCTTTGCTAAAGACTTCTTATACATGTATCAGGCCTCTCAAATATGTGTAGGATTTTTTTTTGAACAAGAAACTTTATGGCCGAGGAACAGTGGTCGAGACTGAATGCCGACCCAATGTGTCGTGCCATGCTTACTGATGAGTTTATTGACCACATGGGACCTGCATACGGTAAGTTATTTGATCAGTTACTCAACAAGCACTATTTAGTATAAGTAGCAAGTAGTAAGTATTTAGTTGTAAGGCCATTATTTCTCACACATTTGTGAAATTGAAGAGGATCTTCTCCATCAAGATGAGAGATGTATTGATGTTCCACTGGTTGGAGACAGTTCGGGCCAGTGGATTTGTAGGGAGATATTTTGAATTTGAAGAGGCAGCAGTGTCTCCCTTTGTGGAATATTTATTTCATGAGTTAAACGATAGTACAACTCTACTAGAACTAAAACACTATGTCGTGTAAAAGTTAAAAGGGACAACAACAACAAAAAGCCCATGAAGTCTCACAATTTTGAAAAGAATCAGACATGGTTGATAGGCATTTCTCATGGCTCAAGTACCTATGGATATGAAAAATTTAGGGAGGTACCTTACGTAAAGGTAAGGACTATCCACAAGTCAAGAGAAAGGGATTTTCATTGTTTCCTGGGCGGGCAATTAACCTCACCATATCCGATTGGTCCACAACGAAGGCACTAATATACCGGCGATCGATGTGGCACTAGAAGAGGCAGATGTATGCATTGGTTAAAATAGGACAATGAGTCTAAGAAAATGCAGTGGCTAAAGTTTTGAATAAAAAGGGCAGGGTTGGTCTTCAAGATCCATCTCGCTTCAGCTTTTCAACCGTCGTCATCATTTTCAGCAGCATCATCTTCACTACAGATTATTATGGCCAGGCAACTCTTTTTTGGGGAGAGCTTTAACGCCGAGGATGAGTGGCGTCGTTTGGATGCTTCAGTGAATGGCGACCCTATGTGGGGACAAGGGCCCCCAGTACCACACCCGAGTTGGGAAATCGGTAAGTTATCAGGGTTTTTTTTGCGTGTCGGTTATCTAAAGTACAGTCAAAAACTCATGTCTGTCTGTACAAAGTGCATATAAAGTGATCAAAACTCCTCTATGTACCTTGTTTATGTTTGTTTATGCGATCGTTCGTTTCGTCAGTATTTTTATGTTTTTTCTTATTATTTTCTTTAAAAATGCACAGATGACAACCAAGAAGACCAACAAGTCTCGGAAGAGGACTCTATTGATCTCACGGGGCCTGAATACGGTGAGTTATTTTATCAGTTACTCCCAGTCTCTCACAAACACTATTTAATATACCACATGATAAAAATATGGCAAAAGGACTTTAAATAATTGTTGTTGTATAATTTCTGTATTTGATGGCTTCAGATGGTGACGATTCCGTATTTGACTGGTCATCACACCCACCATCACCCCCAGCAGCGGCACGGCCAGAGGCTCCGGAAGCAGTAGCGGCAGCAGATGAAGACCTTGTACCGAGACCGTACTCCCCTTGCCCCGCTTTTGATGTAACTTCAGAAGATCCAAATATGGAAGTAAGGGGGCATTTATTGTGCTTCGTAGGCTTACATGTATATAAGAATTGTCTTATTCCAATATGTACAAAAAAACTGCTATGGTTGCTGCGTCGATCATTCATCACAAAGACAACACAGTTGTCTGATGGATGACGCAGAAGACCATTACTACTCCCACATCCATGAAATCATTGAGGATCTTCTCCGAAATGACAGGGAAGTTCTAATGTTCCACTGGTTGGAAAAAGTACGAACCAGTGGATTTTTAAGGGCACATTATGTATTTGAAGAGGCAGCAATGTCTGCCCTTGTACAATTTTTATATAGCAAGTTGTACGAAAACACAACTCTGCTAGAATTAAAACATGATGTCGTGTAGCCAAAAAACACCCCCAAAAAACACACAGAACCCCCCCCCCCCCAAATAAAAACCAGAAAGTTAGCTTTTTTTACAATTTTAATTTAGTTTTCTAATTGTTTAATTAACTATCATAAAGTTGTGAGAGTGTGTGAAGCTTTCATCTCTAACAAAACCAAAAAGTTCAAATTTGATTTCTGAATGTAATTGTATGAAATAAACTTTGTTGAAAAAAAAAGTGGGGAAAAATTTTTTTAAATGCTTAGAAAAAAAACACTGTAAAAAAAAAAATTGGCAAAAAAAAAAAAGAATTTGGAAAAAACAGCCACTTTGTATTTCTAAAAAAAAAAAAAAAAAAAATAATTTTATTCAATAAATAAAAAAAAGTGACATGTATATATTTTATTCTTGCGCGTTTGGTTTGAAAATAAAATGAAGGAAAGGAAATATTAGTTTGTGTGTGATGAATGCCTTGTAATGATAGTATAAAATAGGGGTGATAACGGGGTTAGGTTCAGAGTTCGTTTGTGATTGAACGAGTTAACATCATGGGGGATAGCAAAGCAAAGCATGGTTGGATTACTTAAAAATGTTATATTACAATATAAGGTTAGGGCTCCGCATCGCGTCAAAAAGAAGGGAATGTCATCAGCAGTTCCAGACAGATACAAGGTGCCAGCTCTTAAATGAGAATCCCCCTCCTCCAGTACCTGAAAACACAGCTCAACCATCAATCCAACCATAACTCACCGAAGAGCCAACCAAGGCGAACCGAGATGAAGTCCACCGCTTGAAGTTCCGAAGAACCTAATTCACATTTTTGAGGGTGATGGCTTCAAACAATTAGGAATTGTGCCAACGAAGACATGTGAAGTCTTCGTAAAGACGTTGGCAGCAATGACTGAATGGCTCTTCCAAAGCCAGATTCTAGTTACAATGCCACTGGCTAGGAGACGCCGAACTGTGAAGGGGATCAAAAAGCGGAGGGGGCAGCACAAGCATGAAAAGACCTTTTCGGATCTCAAGATCCAACATCTTCTCAACTTTATTGCTCAAATTGAAAATGAAAGGAAGATGGTTGAGGAAGGGGGGGGGGGGGGTGGACCGTAAAACAAATGTGGACCCACTTTTCGAAGACAACGATTCACTTTAAGATTCCACTATAACCCCAAACTGGTTGTCGATCAGGGCACACCACCAGTCCGCCCCACACAATTTTCAAACATTCAACTTTAGGCTCAATGATTTTTAACCTCACAAGATTGCGCAATACCTTCTCCTAAAAAGGTATAAAAGCGCGTGTAACGGACACAGTTTCAACATTTTGTCAACGAATAATCACACACAAAAATATCATTTAAAATGGATGATAGTCTTAGTAAAACACGGGCAGTTTGGTCTCCAAAAAGTTGTGCATTGCCGTCAAATAGACCGGGCTATAGTTGGGATTCAACAGGCGGTCTGGACGAAGTCTCTGAATTTCGTAAAGAAATTGCAACAAAGCAAGTACTATATCCACCAGAGTCTTACATGTTAAACTTTGCATACAAATAATCTGAACACTAGGTTCAATAAGCCATATACATTTGTAAACCTTGAAAATGATAAAGCCTGAGCAATGATACTATATACACCAAAGTATTAAACCGTACGTTGAAACGGTAGGCGTTTTTTTTTGGGGGGGGGGGGGTTGCCGGAAAATTATGTATGAGTGGGGATGCCTCTGAAAACTAGGATTAATAATGCATAATGCATTTAAAAACTATTTTAAAATGAAAAAGCCTGAGTAATGCCAATATATACTTCATAGTATTGAAACCGTAGGCATTGGTTTTATTGGATTAGGAAAATCATATGTATGTGGATGCCTCGTTCTCAAAAATATTTATTCTGTATTGGCAACAGCACATTATTAATGCATCGTAGTTTCCGAACACGACCTTTCCTGGAGTACATTTACATTGATATCATGATAATTATAGTACTTATAGTATTTTCTCAGGCAAAAGATAATAATTTGGTAAGTCAATGTTTGTTATTAATTGTTTGTTATTTTTCCCGACGGCCTGCATAAAATAAAGAAAATTGCAAAAATGCCGGAAAAAACCCTCAAGAATGTGAGTATATTCACTGGGTGAAAATGAAGACGATGAATCTGAAACAGCTTATGAAAAGTAAATGGACTTGGGTTCACAAGAAAGTTCTTACGATGAAATAAGAACGTCAGTTTTAGCTGCAACAATGCAAGTGAACAGGTTGAAAATACGATTAGTTATGCAAAAATATGCTGAAGAATGCAAGAATATTAATTTCATTTGAAATACTTTATCACATCAAAGCAAGTCTTCTGTTTTATTCATTCTAATGTGGGTTATATACCTTGACCACGTCATGAATGAACGCCTTAAAAATGTCACTGTCCTTGTGCTTGTACCGGTACAGAAACTCGGCCAGGTAACTTGCGTAGTGATGCTTACGGCGTCCGTGCGTTGATAGGTTGGTTTTCATTTGTCGCCAATGCCCCTCGATCTTGTTGGTGTGACTGCCGTCTTTGTTGACGAACTCCTTGGAGTGATTAACAGTCTCATGGGTGTATCCGTACTTAGGCAAGTTAATATATGCTTTCCAGCAATCCGAAATTATGGTTGTTCCTGGCGCAATCCATTCCTGGATTAAAGGGAGCAAGGTTGCTTCGTCTCTATGTTCCACAGTCACGATGAAGCATTCCCTGGAGTCTTCCTCGATGCCGCCAAACACCCACTGCCCTTCAACCTGATGTCCCCGGTAGTATTTTCGCTTCCCGATTTTGCTCTCGTCTATTTGAACCCGTTTCCCCTCTCCTCCGACCTTCTTCTTGTCCGCCTGCATCATGACCACTTCGCACGTCTCTCGACAGAACATGTCCCAATCTACAGCCGTGTGTTTGCCCAGTTGTAGTTGTTGGCGAATTTGATCTTGTTTCAGATCGCAACACCACCAGTAAGTAAATTTGAGGGTTTCTTCCAGCGATAGGTTGCTTTGAGCAAACCAACTTCCACTCCTTATTGATTTCTCGCAGCGATGTCTCTTGCGACCGATTTGCCTCCGGCATTCCCACTTCATATGGTCTGCTCTGTCGTTTGTCTCAACAATGGCCATGCATTCTCCGCACGTAGGACAAGGCATAGCCTTGGCGATGAGTCCAATGTCCTGACACCATGAGATGATGGCATCTTGGCTGCACAGTACTTCTCTGCAAAGTCTATCATAAGTCAGGAAGGCATCTCTATTGTCATCACTTTTTCCGTGATATGAGGAGGAAGGCTTCTCAACTTGGGTGCCTTTGGATTGTGTGCTCGGAGAACATCCATGCTGTATTCCAACATTGCATTTTCTTACGAACTTACTCATTATATGAACTACAGTCGCCTACAATATTTATTTCACTATCTACCGTTGCAAGCACCTCCATCAATATGACTATTACTTTTTTTCGTACGAGTCACGTAGCAACTGAACCTTCACCATAACTCACCTAGAGCCTACTTAAATTAACCATTCATATCCCAAACCACTGTCAGCTGTTTTCAATGGATCACACCAATGAACACATTGTCTAGCAAACATTACACAACAAGCACTTATCTATTACCGGTTGTTCAGCTGACGAAACGTGTTCTTTGTGTTCGTTTTCAATACCTCTCGGTTTTATGACGCCATTGATTGCCGGTTCCAATTAATCCCACTATCTTGCGCGCACTTGGCATTTTCGATGTGCTGTACGCTGCCTATTCACTTTGCCAAAACAATTATTTTACGGCATCAAAACATGTCTGTGAGCGCTACATGGCGGTGTTCTTTAAAGTCTGTGTACTATACCTCGGTCCATTGATTTGTAAATGCTACTGCGAGAAAGCCAACCCTTTCATAACAGTGTTACACGTCCTCATCACAATCGTTAACGGGCACGCTTGAAAGTGGAACTTTTGCCAAGGTTTAGACCACATCCAACACACAGCCATTAATCCTTCTCGTGAAGACCCATACTATTTGTGAGAAAAATGCAATACCAAGTGAGTAGTACTGCAATGAGGAAAATAAAAAAAACCCATAATTTGGACGCCATCCCCAAAAGGACGCATTGTAGTGGCACATGAAAAAAAGTCATATGATTCAGATGTGGAATTCTCAATCAGAATGTTGATCAAATTATCCGTATATTTTCCGTCAGCAACTACAAAAACATTTGCACGGTTTCATTGCAGCTACGTGTTACCATTGCAAAGCGCTAGCCGCTTACAATTGATCACACCTATTAACAACCAAAGGTCGATTCTGTGAAAAACAAACATAAGCAAAATCATTATACAATTTATGTTATAAAATAATTCAAATTAATTTCTGTTAACAGAATATTTCAATATATTGAAAAAAGCGGAGAAATCGTTGCTTACTGCTTGATTTGGAGTCATTTCTAATTCGTTTCAGTCAAAGCTCGAACACTCTTTGTCAGATATACGATCAAATTTGAAATTGAGTTTCAGATCACAATGATGACATGATTGAGAAATTTATTTTAACCTTTATTATTTACTTAACAATTAAAATGAGGTATGAGACTTCTTTCGCACTCCACGTAGTTCTGAAATGTAAATGCCAATGTCCTTCTTGCATAATAAGTTTCGCTCCAGTGATTTGACCACATTATTGTGAAGCCATTGAGCTAAGACTCGGGTGAAGTGTTGTACGTTTTAGTCCTCGTTGGACGTTTCTCTTGAAAATCACATTGATTGTTGAATTACTTGCTATGTTGTTTGTGACAACTTTCCAATGCGATCATTGATTGCATGTGTTTGGTTATCTCGCTGAAAAAGGGATGCATTCTTCTGGAACGCCCGCATCCTTTCAAGAAATACAGGATAAAAGCAGGCGGTGCGCTGAACTTCCTGCTAAGTTTACTGATGTTGTTCTTTGCTCTTCCTTGTCCATTGAAGATTGGACCGTATGACATAACTCAATAACCCAAAGAACAAATAGTGAAGCGGCTAGCACGGCCACTGGTCAATGAGTTGTGCAGAGTAAAAAGCAAACAGGCAATTCAATCAAATGACGCACTTTTGGCAAGTACTTATTGTTTTTGATTATGACAATAAAATATTGAAATGGATTTAGCAAAAGTTGGACGTCTGTAGCCTGCCTGGAAACCTTATAAAAGTCACGATCATAGTTGCCAATTTTGGAGTCGCCTATACAAATTGACCGAGGTAGTAAAAGGGCCTTGAAGAACACCGTCTGTTATTTAGCACTTCCAGGCATGTGCCATAAAACTGAGTGGTTTTCAAATTGAACAGAAAGGAACACGCCTAATCCGCTGTGCGCAGGGTCATTGGTGACTACTATACTTTTGTTCATGTTTGTATGACGATGTGATAATTGGTGGGATCAACAATTGGAGGCGACGACCGCTGGTATTGTAAAACTGAAGGGCTGGGGCTGACCAATTGAAAGCAGCTACCGGCTATAGATGTGATGTATTGAAATCGCCTACCGCTGGTTATACCAAGGGATAAGTGTGATCTATTGAAAGTGGCTATCATTGACTTCATCAAACTTAGTGGTATTGAAGTGGATCAGGAAAAATACAACTCGTCATTTGTATAGGCGGTCATTTACAAGAGCTGGCTTTTATAAGACATTTTGATAATAGGTGTGAACACTCGAAAGAGCTTATACTTCAGGTTGTCTGAGAGGATGGCTCATCACGCCCTCAAAAAAATTGTTGCCTCTTTTTATGAGCACATATATTTTGCAATGGTAACACCATTTATCCACCTCCCCTACGAAACCATCACAGAGCGCGAATTCATTGGAAAAACATTTCTACCCCCCCCCCACCATGATATGTCTTCTGATGGGTGGTCCATTGTCCAGTGATTCTGTGTATTTTGGATAGCTTTATAGAATATACATATTTGTCAAAAATAACAATATTCTCAAAGAAAGATCCACATTAAGAATGTTATGATTTAGTATAAAACTGTGTATTATAGCCGTGTGTAATGTAATGTCAAGCATTGTTGTGGTAGCCGTAAAAGTGCCAACAAGTTGAGTTAAAAAAAAAACAATTATCATCCCGGGGAAAAAAGCGTAAGTTGCAATTTGTATACGCCTACATTATAGAGGTGATCATAGATATGTACGTCATTTCATTATTATTATGATTATTATATTGGTATTATTTGTTTTGCCTTAAAAAAACCCACCAATTGAAACAACAAACGACAGCAGCACATTCAAACACCACTTACATGTACATAAAAATGTACCCTGACTAAATAAATGTTAGTTTAAATTAATAATTGCAAACTACTAAAAACTCAGTTTAAGTTACTCTTACGTTCTACCTCATCAAACACAACAAGGGTACACATTACAATTTATATGTGGCGTTATAAATGATAAACACCCAACACATATTACTCTGCGGCTTTTTAAATTTCTGCCTCCACAGAACGGTATGCCGCTGTCAGTCAAAACAATATTATTAGAGAACGATCCATCTTTAACTATTTGAGTTATAAGCGTGCACTTTCATCTCATTTCCCTTTAACACAAATCAGACTGAATTGTCAAATGCATTTGCTTGCACAATTACGCCATGGATTCTGCAAAACAGCTAAAACATTCACATTGTACACAATTAAAAGACAGGTGAATTCTTGCTTAATGTCCTTGTTTATCTTGTTAATCTTCAACAGTACATCATTATCTCGCAGAGCTACTTTATATCCAATTTATAGTCACTTCCAAAGACCATCGAAACGCGGCAGCCAGCGTTATTGTACACACACAATCACAGGGATGTGTATGCTTCGTTCTTAAAATCACTTTTCTTAGACTCATGTACAACTTTAATCATAAACATTACAATACTATTGGGTTATCATGGTTTACGCAATTGATTTTTTTGTTGTCCTACAGTCTTGACAACTGAAGGTTAAGATGGGGAATTTGGGATAATAACTGTCGCCAAATGGTTAGTTGGTTATGTTTGTGTTTGTACCGATTGAAACATTTGTGAACGTATCACCAAAATATCAAAGCTAATCATTGTGAAAGGTGCCCTTTCTGTTAACATGCATATTGATTGTTACATTCAACTTATCTAACAAAAGGATTGTTTTCGTCAATTGCGAGACATACCCATGCATAATACTCGCTGTATCAAGGTGCATGCCTTAAACAACAACAGGTTATGATGTCTTCAATTGCACCAAACAACCTTTTCTAATACCGACTAAACCAAAAGCTTCCGCAAATTAACCACCGGTCCTTATGAAAGAATGAACACGCAGTCGCAAGGGGGGGGGGGGCAATTGTTTGATGCTACAGTGAAAAAAAACCGCATAATGTAAGTGATGCTGAAAACTGTACACGTGATTATCGACGCCCACCTGCGCCACCAGCACGTCAAATCCACTCAATACAGTTATGCAACCTGTAACCATGGTGTCACCACCACAACAAGTACTAAAATTGCACTGACACTGATGATTCTAGTTGTCCGGGATCTTTTACTTTAGAATAAGAAAATTAAATCAGACCTACTCAATAAGGTTTACGCATTTCATACTCTTAAAAGTCATACGGTCATGTACAAACGTAATACAAACGTTGGCAGTGTTTTACGAGCATAACACGCCTTCAATACCGGTACCTTCAAGCAAGTGTTATCAATATGACCGGCCGAACAGTGGACGAAACGTAATCTTTGTGCTCATTTTCAATATAAAAACAACGATGCTACAAATTCCAATCAAGAGTATGGCCACTCTGGAATTTTTTTTATTGTCACACATTCTGTCATTATTTTTTCAGCGCCTTCAGTAATTTTACAGGAAATCTGTACATGGCAAAAACATTTGATTGCAACTGTTTAATACCGGATTATGTTATACGCCAAATGTTATCCCAAAACTTTCTGACGGAAATGCACCCATTCTATGTAATTATCCTAAATGTTTTTTTCAGTGAGGACCATAACTGTTTCTGAACAATTTTGAGTGTCGTACAATATCAAGTTTTCAACCTCCGTGACGGGAAAAAATAACAGGAATATCAACGTTACAAAACGCATAAGTTGTAAAGCTTTTCCACTATGATACTACGCGGCAAAACAAACTAGACATCGTGATTTACAATAAAAGAGTAGTCACTACATCTTCACGGCCGTTTCAAGCCTTGCATGGTTGTGGCCGTGATAACCTGCAGATCACAGATCTGGAAATATCTATCCAATCAGAGCGTCGGGCTTCAGAGCGTCAATACATCAAACCTTCCCAGCGTCCTGTTTGCTAAATGCGGGTACGACAGAACGAATACTAATGCGCACGCAACATTGAAGATTGCATAACCTTACATTAACCCTAACCCCCTAGGCCCTTGTTGCTTACAACCATCCTCAATCCTCCAAAATTTTCCAAAATTTTGCAACTCCGCCTAAATTTTTCAAAATTGTCAGACAGTCCTGCCTCAAAATGCATTCATCCTCAATCCTCCAAAATCCTCCTCATCCCAAAACTTTGCACTCGTGTTTAAATGAAGGATAACCAACGCCAAATCCTTCAAAATCATCAGACAGTCCTACCTCAAAATGCATTCATCCTCAATCCTCCAAAATCCTCTTGTGCTTCAATCACCATTCATCCTCAATCCTCCAAAATCCTCATATGCTTCAATCACCATTCATCCTCAATCCTCCAGAATCCTCATTTGATTCAATCACCATTCATCCTCAATCCTCTAGAATCCTCCAAAACCGCCAGGAGGATTTTGGAGGAGTGAGGTGGGTTAGGGTTAACAAAAATAGTCAGAAACTTTTTTTCTGTTAACTACACTAGAAACTAGAAGTAGTCAGAGTCATTTTACTCAAGGAACCAGACTAGTACAACATCAAGTTAACGCATGCGCACTTACTGTATCAAGTTTCATGTGTTATTAGCTAGTTCATCTCTTCAATTGATACACTCTCATTTGGATCTCTCAGATGCTAACAATGTCCAAGCTCACTAAGATTAGCAAACAGCATCCTAGGACATGGGCGCAATTACATCGGCGTCTAATATCAACCCCGTTCGATTATGGCAGTCTCTTTTCCGACACCACCCGTGATTTTGTCACAAATTCGGCTGCATCGTTGAACACCAATCCAGGATATTTGATCATGGCTCTCTTGACGACCACACTATTCGTCCTCAGCTTATCCGTGAAATTGACCACTTTCCACGGATTCGATGCTGTCCCGAATATTTACTCCCTGTTCGTCGGGCCACCCTCTACGGGCAAATCGCAAGCAATCAAACTCGGCGCATCAACCCCACTACACCAGCTCATCCAAGACAAAGAACTAATATCCTTCTTAACCCTAACCCACCTCACTCCTCCAAAATCCTCCTGGCGGTTTTGGAGGATTCTAGAGGATTGAGGATGAATGGTGATTGAATCAAATGAGGATTCTGGAGGATTGAGGATGAATGGTGATTGAAGCACATGAGGATTTTGGAGGATTGAGGATGAATGGTGATTGAAGCACAAGAGGATTTTGGAGGATTGAGGATGAATGCATTTTGAGGCAGGACTGTCTGATGATTTTGAAGGATTTGGCGTTGGTTATCCTTCATTTAAACACGAGTGCAAAGTTTTGGGATGAGGAGGATTTTGGAGGATTGAGGATGAATGCATTTTGAGGCAGGACTGTCTGACAATTTTGAAAAATTTAGGCGGAGTTGCAAAATTTTGGAAAATTTTGGAGGATTTTGGAGGATTGAGGATGGTTGTAAGCAACAAGGGCCTAGGGGGTTAGGGTTAATGGAGAAGGTGACACCCTCGGGCCTCTTCAAGAAATTAGCAACCGACAAACAAGGCATCCTGTTGTCTCCTGAAATGTTTGATGTCATTCACAAACTTTTGAAAACAGAGGAAGGTTCAAGTAGTGACATGTCCCTATTGTGCGAATTATTTTCCGGAGAAGGATCTTCATTTACCCTGGCCACACAATCAGATAGACGAATTCCACCCGGCACGCCATTCTCCATTCTAGGGAGTACCCAACTTCAACCCTTGGTTAAACTACTAGTCATGATGGATGAAGGCCAGGGCTTACTCGACAGATTCCTCATTCTAACACCCGAGTGTTACCGACCAACCCCCACTCATAAACTGGATGCGCAACAATACCGGTACATAGATCAGCAGACAATTACTTCTTTTGTTGATTATGTTTCGGCTGTCTATGATCTCCACGTAACTGCAACAACGTACTCGTTCAACGCATCGGCTAAAACAATGTTGAATGACCTGGAAAAATGAGTTTGTCCAATCATTAAATGAAGCCATCAGAACTGGTTCCGTCCCCCCCAAGTCCAAAAAGATCGACATCATACAAAGACTTGCACTTGGCTTACACGTCACAGACCACATAATGTCAAGCCTACTGACCGGCATTGAACTCGCCAAATCAGCCGTGAAACACTTGACAAGGCATGTCGCCTTACTTCCTACTGTGACATGCAAAAAGACGTCTTACTTCAGGTAAGCAATTTTTCTTTGCTTTTTACTTCACCCTTTCTATTATTATCTTTGAATAAAAACCTTCATTTATTATTTGTATACCCGCTCATATCGCTAAAACCCTATAAGGAATTACATAATTTCCCACAAATGATCCATTCAATAAAGGTGCATTCAAAAAGATGAAAAAGATACCCCACTTTATCTAAGCTTAAAAACTTTTTTTGGCCTATACTCATGCCGTGATCCTTTGTTCACATGTTCATTTCCTTAAGGTGTCAGTGTGGGTCTACTGCCCACTATAATTGAAGCTCATGCGCACATATACAAAGAGCTACGTCATCAGTACAAGCATCTCAATATTAGCCAATAGAAATTTAGGACGCTAATACTCTATGTCATGGTCTCTCCCTCATTCATGGACTGTGAGTACATGTATTAAGTTCACAACAAACTACACTGACATTAGTCAACACGGATCGTGAACACAATGACCAGTGAACATGGCTTCTTTTACTGACATTTCCGAATTTGTGAATTTCGCGGATTTACACAAAGTATTACAAGCCATCAGTCATATGTCACAAACCGATATTACTGCTAAACGCAAGGAGTTATTTGGTCTCATCAACGGCGACGTTTTTTGGCCAATCCGTCTCTGGCCCAGCACATTCGCCAAGTTATTCTGGCAAAAACCTTTGTCAGATACATCTACGTTCAAACTATTTCTGTTTCTAGTTGGAAATGGATGTCCCCCTCACATAGCTTGCGAGTGGATACTCATCTCCCAATACTGGAATGCCAAATGTCTGATAAAACGGTTCCAACAGCTTCAGTTCATCGTACGTCATTTTCACTCCTTCAGAAATAGGTGGTTTTACTTTGACGTCTTCACAAACACACACAAATTTGTGTCGGGCAACGCACGTTCTACATGAATCAAAATTTCTTCACGCTTGCTTCCCCACAGTTCATTTCCTCAACACTCAATTCTGTGATGGACACGGAACTTCGCCAACCGACACAAGAGGAAATCAAGCGAGCCATTTGCCTTTTCCAAGGACCAATTATGACTCCACGAGCCTTCATCCAAGCTGCACCCCGGTTTCTACGTAAACTCACCTCGGACGAAATTACCGGACACATGAAAAGCATGACCACCTGGGGAGATGTCATCACCGTCAAACAGCCAAGGAGTCGGGCCACGACTGTGTTCATCAAAAGAGCACCAGGGCAAGTGAACTGGGAGGAGAACAATACTGTCAACAGAGAGGAATACGAAGACAGATTTACACAGAGGATTCCAAACGCCATCTCGCCAACACTCCGGAACAAATTAAGCCGAGACGGATACATCAACCCTGACAACGAACTGTAGATATCTTCCAACAACATCTCCTCCACTCAAAATATCCACCATGTATTACTTCAACCTCCTAGTGTACTTGCTTTGATGCCGCTTTGATGTAGTAAGTACAGTCAAATCTCGTTACTACAAACTCGCTCGGACCTAGCCAAATTGTTTGTTACATGTATATCATAACTTTGTGTAAAGAGTAACATCAGCCCATTCATTGTGCACATACACAGTCGGGACTAAGGCTTCATATTTGTTACAACCCCAGTTCTGTATTAACAGAAATTGAACTTACGAAATTCGACTGTATTCCAACAAATATATATTTATATTTGTTGACATTCAAGGTTGTATAATGTTATTTTTCAACCTTATCACTTGCATTGTTGCAGCTACAGTTTACGCTCATAAATTCCACGTAATAATCTCATCCACACTCAATAACCTTTGATAGTATGTAAAATATTTATTGAGTACTCGTGCTTCAACCTCCATAATGTACTTGCTTACATGTATTAAAATTGTCCAAATATATATACATGTGTTTGTTTTCTTGAGCAAAATTGACATTCGTGGTTGTGTAATCCAGTTTTGCGACCTCAATCACATGCATTGTTCCGGCTACAATTGACGCCCTTTCCATTTCCTCTTTATAACGTTTTTGTATTCTTGAAGTATTGCATCTCCGATACATTATTCATGAATGCATTTACTTTATGTTCAGCGTCGACTAAAGTAACAGCGACATTAATTACAAACACTTTAATAATATTATCTCTCCCCTGGGAAACTGTACTGTAATTATCATGACTTCAATGTACATGTACTCCAAAGAATAAGTCATATTCGTAAACCTACGGGGCCGTATCTTACACATTGTGCTGATGTCACTAGAAACAATATTTTTGAGAACGAGACATCCACATCAATTTCATTCAGTTCCAAACAAAAAAAACGAAGACCTACAGTTTGATGTCCTTTGGATGTCAAGAGCAGGCTTTTCCAAATACATGGTGCATTATTAAGCTTAGGTTTCAGATGCTTCGTAATCATGTTTATCTTGTATATTCTGTTTTCACATTGATCATACTTTTCTTTTCTAGTTGGTGTATAAACTTGCATCCTTTTTTGACCTGGTGTATATACAGTCGACTCCCGTTATAACGAGCTCGGTCATAACGATAACCTGGATGTAACGAGCACATTCTGCCAGTCCCGATCAATTTGTGTACATTACTATGGGGAAATATTTGGTTATTACGTGCACGGACATAACGAGACTTCGGCTATTACGACGATTTTGGCTGACCCAATGCGAGGAAAAGCATTGTTCTCAACCCATTTACAACGACATCTTTTCAAAACTACGGGCATTGCAGCTTGTCAACGACAGACCTTTTGTCCCGAAACGGGTATCATGCTCCCGTCTTCCAATTCAAGCAACACACTTAAGCTTCACCCATCAATGTACCTTTGTAAAGACTTCAACCCAACGTTATTTCATCTCGCCGATCTTTATAAATAAATTCAATGGGACTGTGATAATCGGCGCAGTGGACCGCTGGTCTAGTCGCTAATCCCCCGCTGCGGTTTCCCTTAGCGTGACCAGGTTTGAAGTTTGCTTACGACTGCGGTACCACGTTTCTATATTATTACAAACTAACAATAGGGGGCGCTCAGGAGTTAAGTGTTAACATTGTAAGGAATAGCCTTTAGTACTACCGCCCGAACATCGGGTGCGTAATTGCTCCCTATTGTTGGCTTGTGGCTATAAAAAAAATACGAAGTAAAGAACACAGCATCACAAAACAAACGGCTCTTTTCAGAGCCACCACAACTTCCAAACAGAGATAATTCAGTCTGTCTTCAAAAAATAAAGTTTAAAACATACCGTGTTTCCCACCCCCAAAAAAGAATCCGAAGAATAAAAAAATAAAAATCTTAAACAAATTAAGAACCCCTCCGGCCCCGCCGAAAAAACAATCCCAATGAAAACAGGTTTCCAAGATCTTCAAACGCCCCACCACATATACATTGTACAAATTTTAATCCAAAATTATTACTTTTGTTTATTTATTATTATTATCTTAAAAGAATCCCTCCCGACAAATAATAATCACCAATTGCTGCGAAATTACACATTTAGACACTTAAACCCGGAAGTAATATTAGCGCCCTCTCTTGCCCGATTCCAGCAAATGCAAAACAAAAGCAAAATGTCACTTGGCACGAATGTGCGCTATAGTTAACCGAAATAATTACAATTTCAAAGAATCCCTTCAGAAACAATAATACCCAACTGTTCCAAAAAGTCAACAACCAAAAAGCATCTAAGGATCAGGAGTCATTAAAACCCGGAAGTAATGCATGTATTGGCGCCCTCTCTTGCCCGATTCCAGCAAATGCAAAATGAAAGCAAAATGTCACTCGGCACGATTTGTGCGAGTGACCTACTTGCCTGATTCTTCTCAGCGATGATGCCTTTTCCTCCGGATTCAGGTCCTCAAATATTGAACAATGTTCCCTCAAAGGTATTTTATTTATTTCATTTATTCATCACCATCAGTTAAATATTTAATATACATTATTAACAGACGTACATACCAACAAATGACCATCTTTTCATGTCTTCGGACGTGCGTTACACGATTAAAACACGCACGCACATGTACCGTACCTTGTGCACAACGAATGGGGAAAACTGCGCTCCGGTTTTAGCGAGGTTCCGGCTATAACGACAGTATTGTGAAAGTCCATCGGACCTCGTTATAACGGGAGCCGACTGTATATGCATTGTTGAGGCTGTTTCAGATACATAATTCGTCGATTTTTCATTTTCTACCTGTTAACTCTTTCTTAAATATTTCCATTGTTGAACCCTTTTCACATTGATCGTACTTTTCTTTTTTACTTGGTGTATACGTGTATACTTCATTTTTTTAAAACCTGGTGTATATATATGCATTGTTGAGGCTGTTCCAGATACATAATTCGTCGATTTTTCATTTTCTACCTGTTAACACTTTCTTATATACTTCCATTATTGAGGCTTTTTCACATCTAGTTGGTGTATATACTTGCTTCTTTTTGTTAACCTGGTGTATATATGCACTGTTGAAGTGATTTCAGATATATTATTATTCCATTTTTGACTACATGAGATTCTTCGCATCTATTTTCAACATGTTTCCTATACTCGCATAGTGAAAGGTACTCGAAAAGCAATGCAGCATTTTCCAATTTTACTCGTTATTTTCTAGACTAAAAAAAGTGTTAACAATACATGCAGCACAACAATAATATAAAGAAGCTGGCATGGTAAAAAACGTGTCTTTGTCATACTTCAGTTGTTTAAACCTTATTTCTGACGTCATCCAACTGTCAAATTCCCCTGTACTAACTCCAATTGTCCTAGATTAACTTACAATGTATTGAATTGTCAATGTATTGCACATTATTCCCCCCCCCCACATAAAAACCCCTTAAAATAATGCTCTCTTGTGGCCCTGTCCTTCTCTACATTCCACTCCGTAACCGCGTAGCCACCAACAGGGTGGTTGGTTTGGACTTAGACTTTTTTCAACGGTTCCCCTTGCCTTTGCGCATAAAACCCCCCGGAGCCAGCTCCCGTAGAATAGTACCGCGCCAAGCCACAATAACCAAAAAAAAAATAAAAAATATGTACCGCCCTCTTGTGGCCCTGTTCATCTCTACATTCCACTCCGTAACCGCGTAGCCGCCAACAGGGTGGTTGGTTTGGACTTAGACTTTTTTTCAACGGTTCCCATTGCCTTTGCGCTTGAAGCCCCGAGCCAGCTCCCGTAGTGCCGCGCCAAGCCACAATAACACACACACACACAAAATATATATATAGCGCCCTCTTGTGGCCCTGTCCTTCTCCATTCCACTCCGTAACCGCGTAGCCACCAACAGGGTGGTTGGTTTGGACTTAGACTTTTTTCAACGGTTCCCCTTGCCTTTGCGCATGAAACCCGCCAGCTCCCGTAGAATAGTACCGCGCCAAGCCACAATAACCAAAAAAAAAAAAAAAAAATATGTACCGCCCTCTTGTGGCCCTGTTCATCTCTACATTCCACTCCGTAACCGCGTAGCCGCCAACAGGGTGGTTGGTTTGGACTTAGACTTTTTTTCAACGGTTATCCTTGCAATAGTGTTGCTTCGTTCATCGTTTATGGGAGCACACTTAGTTTCCAATGGATTTCAAATGTTTCTTTTCCAGTAAAGTAATTCCGACATCGTAGCCAGTGATTTTAGGGGTGTATTTTCGAGTGGCGGGGTATTCTGCAATTACTCCAGCAGTTCTGTGTAGTAACATTTCTAAATATGATTTAAGTAAGATTTGAGGCTTTGCATGGTGAAGATACTAAATAATGAAAGGTTTGCGGAAACAACATGTGCGAATAATTTCTCAACTAAGAGAATGGTTCTGAAAAGCACCAGAGGTATAAACTCGACGGTCAGAGCATGCTGACCGGAACGTCGAGTTTATACCTCTGGTTCTTTTCAGAACCATTCTCTTAGTTGAGAAATTATTCGCACATGGTGTTTCCGCAAACCTTTCATTATTTAAATATGATTTAAATATTTTAAATATATAATTGTTAAGTAAGGCAATGGTCATTGTTTGCGTATTGAACGTATAGTGTAACTTTTACTGAAAGAAAAATGATTCAAAATTTCCAGAGCATCACATGAATTAAATATTGGTTTTTTGTTTTTTTGTTGCAGCCTCACTTCGTTCCATCAGCAGCGAATTGGCACTACAATTACACCAAGACACTGGTGTAAATGTAAAACCTGGTCAAAAGCTGTGCCCCAACTGTCGGAAGCAAGTTGGTGATCTTCCAAGTGTCAATGAAGAAAGTGTCCCACTAGCCTCTCTCCAGGCTGCAGAAAGAGAAAATGTTGCAGAAGCTTTCCCCCAGATGACCGAAAGTGACACTGATTTTCTTCCTGAAGAGGGGTCAGATGACTTAAACAGCAGTATAGGTAGCTTGGGATGCTCACCTTTGAAGAGGATGCATTCGGTTGGAAAACGTACTAAAGCACAGTATGGTAGAAAGAAGGTGAAACAAGCAGCAGAAACGATCACAAGCAAAGTTTCTAAAGTTCTTAACATCGATCCAGAAGAGTTAATAACATGCAATGGGTGCACTGATCTTCATCGCCTTATGAGTGGTTTGAAGGAAAAGTTGGTGACAGCTTCACGACAAGAACAAATCCGTCTTTTGACTCTAATCCCAAGTAGCTGGACAATTACAAAATCAATGTCTGAATTTGGGCATATCCATGGTATCACCAAGTACTTAATAAGGCAAGCCAGGACACTAAAATCAGACCATGGCCTCTTGGCAAACCCATCCGCAAAGCGTGGAAGACCACTTTCAGATGAAGTAATTCAAGCAGTAAGAAACTTTTATGAGGATGATGAATTGTCTCGAATTTGCCCTGGTCAGAAAAATGTTGTGTCAGTTAAAGTGGACGATGGTACTCGGCAGCACAAGACAAAACGTTTGCTTCTTGCCAACTTAAAGGAGCTCCACATCGAATTCAAAAAGCGGCACCCAAAGTTAAAAATTGGTTTATCTTCTTTCTGCGCACTTAGACCAAAGTGGTGTTTGACAGTGGACAGCAAGGGTATGCATACGGTGTGTGTATGTACAATACACCAGAACTTAAAACTCATGGTGGATGCCCTTCCGGTAGCTTTGGATTACAAGGAAATCCTTTCCAAACTTGTGTGTTCCCTCGATAGCCGTGACTGCATGATGCATCGATGTCCCAAATGTCCAGGAAAAGAAAGCCTTACAGATTTCCTTCACAATATGTTCGAAACTTCTGACATGGATGACGACGACTCAGTAGATTACAAACAGTGGCTAACAAGTGGTCAGGCAAAGTTACAACAAGTAAGGGATTCTGTCTCTGACTTTATCGAAGCAATCTGTACTTCCGCTGACACAGCAACAAACACATCAATATGTTGTCAAGACCCAATCAGCATACCTGCGAAACCTGAAAAAAAACACTGCCTGCATGCACTGAAGTTATTGTCTTAATGGACTTCGCTGAAAACTATTCTTTTGTCTGTCAGGATGCCATCCAGGGATTTCACTGGGAAACAGAGCAAACCACACTTCACCCTTTTGCCGTCTATTACCGAACAGAAGAAGGGGGTGAATTGCAATGTTTCAGTGCCTGTGTGGTGAGTGATGAACGTGAGCATGTTGCTACCACTATACACAAATTTATTGAGGAGTTACTAAATGATTTCAAGGAAAGATTTCCCCAGCTGAAATGTGTTCACTACTTTAGTGATGGTGCCGGTGGGCAATACAAAAATTGCAAAAACTTCACAAACTTGTGCTACCATGAAAAGGACTTTGGTGTAAAAGCAGCCTGGAACTTCTTTGCTACTTCACATGGGAAGAGCCCATGTGATGGGATTGGGGGTACAGTGAAGAGACTTGTTAGAAGAGCCAGCCCGCAAGCTGTAACCAAAGATCATATCTTCACTCCCAAAGATCTATACAACTGGGCCTCAATCAACATAAACAATGTTCATTTCTTATACATTTCTTCAGAAGAAATTCAGACCCATAACAACGACATCAAACAAGGCATGGAAAATGCAAAAACTGTATCAGGGTCTCGTAGTCATCACAGATTTGTACCAGTTGATGAGTGTGAGCTGCGGATGTACCGCCTTTCAACTGATGATAAATCAACATTAATATCTGCAACTGTATCAATGCAGGAAACTCATCATGCACCAATTGTAGCAGCTGACCTCAACCCAGGAAAATATGTTTGTGTGGTCTATGATGATGTTTGGTGCATTGCTATTGTAGAAGATGTATCACAACTTCATGAGGATGTGTATGTCCGCTTCATGTACAGGACGGAATCAACAAATACTCTCTATTGGCCACAAAGAGAGGATAAATGTAACATTCCATTTGTTGATGTGTTGTGTTGCGTACCAACACCAGAACTTCTACATAGCGGTGGAAGGCAATACAAACTTAGTGAGCCAACCATCATGCAACTCATTCAACTTCATCAAAACTACATCACAAGGAATGCATAATTTCACCTGTGAACAATTATATCAACTGATCAAAAGTCTACATGTACAAATGTAAGCTAAGTTTCATACCCAACTTATTCTTTATGTACCGACTGCTGTTATTCTATGTACGTGTACTTGTATGTAACGGAACCAGCATCGTAAGATTTCGACTCTTTATAAAGCCCAGCTATCCACTGAAGACATTTAGACACCAACATGAAACTTTTCAGAGGACTTCACTAAGGACCAACCTCAAACATATGTGAAGCAAAATTTGGTGCGGAATGTCTGACGTTGGTTTTCGGGGGGGGGGTCAAGTTATTGTAAAAATAAACAATTTGCTTTTTGCAAGGGCTATATCTCATTTAATGAAGTTAATATAAGTGTAAGATTTTACATGAAAGTAGTTTCAATTGGGGGCTATTACAGGAAAAAGATTTGGTGAAAAAAATATTTTCAATTTGTGACTTACACCCCCCCCCCCCCCCCAACATTGGTCCAGATGAGTTTTGGGCCATTTTGGGGCCCCTCTAACTTAAAAATGAAACAAGCTACTTTCTTTTTGTTTAAATATTTGAAATCTACAGCAAAAAATAGCCCAGATTACCAAGTTTGAAATGTCTGGGGGGTATACTTTTAAATATATGGCCCTTTAAACATTGAATTTCGTGACGCGACGCACTTTTGGCCCCGCCCACCTCAAATTTCAAAATGCTGTTGCGCAAGAACGAAAAGTCGTAGAGACTCCAAATTTTCAGAATTTGCATTTCTCCTAAGTATCTTTCAGTACACCAAAAAAGAAAAAAATCCAAGAGGTGATGGTGTGCACCATTTGTTGAGTTGGCATGGAATGACCCTCCTGTGTTGGTTGCACAAATGCTCCCAGAGTTCGGTATCGTCTTACTTCACTTAAATACAAGCTAGACAAGCATTTTGCAAAGACCTCTCCCATTTTGGTTGCACAAATGCTGCCCGAGTTCTTCGTGTCCCGGTTTATGGTTTAGTCATTAAAGAAACTGTTTGTCGTGTCTCATCACAGCCGCGAATGGGATTATAGCCGCATGATGCATAGAGCAAGGAACATTCAGGTTGAAACATACTTAATTGAGAGGCTTGGGTTAAGTAACATGTTGTCTACTTTGTCCCCTTTCGAGATACAGGCTTTGAAGTTACGGTAAGAACAAAAGGCAGGGGTCACGTCAACGATCTTTGCACCATATACGTACCATATCGCAGCGCAGTGTGTATAGGATAAAGCAACATGGATGAAGGAATAGAAAATGTGTGTGAAGACGGCTAACAAGGCAGAATCTAGTGATTTATCAGAGTCTGAAGCCTCAGAAAGTGACTTCGATGTAGAGCTGTCTGAAGAAGCTAGATCTGACTCGGATTCGGTGGAAGATTACCGGGATTTAGAAGGCCGTATTGTTCTGTACCTGTACGAGTCTAAGCTAGACAGCGACGATGACGGCAACGATGCGAACGAAATCCCTGGCGTTCACAATGACAACGATGATTTAGAGGGTAGACTTGGAAAAAGCGACTGGTAAATATGCCCCTTAAACCAATCAATCAATTTGAAATAAACCCCTTTACTAAAATCAATACTTTTTCACCGAACTTGTGAAGTTGTAGTGTAGGATTTAGTATATATTTTAACTTTTGTAAGGTTGATTATTATTACTGACAGCTATGTTAAAAAAAAATTTCAGTCATGCTAGGATCGTGTCTTGCTATTCAAGAGACAAAGAAGCGGCAAACACACACGAGTACACAAGGTTGTCAATAATCACGAATCTCTGTATGTCCATTTCGCACACCCCACTGGTACGCGATTTCAAACAGTGGACCGTTCACTTAAACTATTAGTAAACACTCATTAGTGAAAGAAAGTGGTGACTGTGGCTTAGTGGTTAGGGTTCATGATTCATTTATCAGAAGGGTCCTGGGTTCGGATCCAGATGCTGGCCATATCGTCGTGTCTGTGCAACAAGGTCATATCTCCTTAAATGACGTTTTCAATGTCAAAAGGTTGTATCTCAATCTCGCTTAAAATAACCCCCATGTACACACAAAGTCAATGGACATCCAGATACACGAGATACGACATTGTTGCACGGAGCGTATTTGCCCAAGATACGACTTTGTTGCAGAATCAAGTTACAAACTTGTTGCACTGACAAGACGACATGTTGTGTCCTCGGGCAAGCCACTTCATCCCCACTTGCCTCCCTTCACCCACGAGTATAAATGGGTACCGGCATTCACCAAAGAGTAACCTGCGATCCAAATGTCCATGTGCGACATTCAATTATCTGTGTCCCTATCCTCACCTGTTAGCGCTGTCGTCCAGCGTCCGCTCGAACCACTGCACGGCGTGCGTCTGCAAGGGGTCCCCTACCAGCGTCATGAGATGGCGTGCCAGCGAGCAGCAACGCTCGCTGCGCATCGGGTTGCGCTTGTACGGCATGGCGCTGGAGCCAATCTGGTCCGTCTCAAAGGGCTCCTCCACTTCCTTGAGATTGGCCAGAAGCCGTAGGTCCGTGCAAACCTGGAAACGGTACCAAAAGAAGATGATAAGTCCCAGACAGTTAGCTCAGTGGCTCAGAGTGAGTGACTAAGTTAAACAATGTTGACCACGGTTAAATGACCTGACCCCACTTGTTCAGAAAAGTGGAAAGATCTGCGTGACCATCCTGGCCGACAGAGGTGCAGAATTCAATGTAAATCATCTGACAAACGCGTGGTACAGCATGAGACTCTTCAGGGATCTGGACTAAGATATTCTTCTAGCCACTGCTCACTGACCTGAAAATTCAGGCAGAAATCCTGTAGAACATGTATGATCAGTTTTTATATCTGTGCCACTCTATCTTCCAGACCAGAGAACTACAACCTCAGCAGCAAAAGCTGAACGATGCAGAGAAAGACACTGAAGAAAAGAAGGCGCTCAATGCTGCACTGAACAAGCTGGACAGGTACTGGGCAGATCTTCACTATGGTGGGGTTAAAACAAACACCAGTCACTGTTCTGGCTCACATAACCCTACTCCGAATGACACAAATGAACAGGAACGGACTCACAAGCTACTGACCAGGCCCTACAAAGACATCAAGGCGGCTGACATAGCAGAAAACATGGAATTCTTCAAGAAACACATTGACAGACGCGAGGGTATGGCAATCTTCACAAGGTGTCTTCCACCGGAACAGTGTTCTCACTGTGTAGCAAAACCAATCAGGAATACTGAGTCAGTTCGTATATATAAAATAGGTTCCCTTCACCCGTATCATCAGTCATCCAACCTGGACGATTTGTGACTTTCCTTGAGGTACTAAACCTGGTTCCTGGACAACCTGATGGGAACATCCGCTCTGTTCACAAGAACCCGCTCACCGGCAAACAAAGTTCAGTTGGGGGTGACCGACCGACGCCATCTTGCCCGACTGAAATTTGCCGCGATGCGTGGCCGTACCACTGTGTGTACATAATACATATCCCCTGGTGTACGTGCGTCACACACAAGGAACGGTGCGTGTTAACCAGCTACATGTCCCGCCCATGGGACATCGTTGCTACGTAAAAGAGTGCCCTCTTTCAATGGCGCACGGAGCTCATACCATCAGTGAGAAGCAGCTTGGTGCTTGCTTGTATTGTGAAGGCTGACTGACAACATCATTCAACTCTTTCCGTCAAAATTATAACAACGGTCAACTGACCAAACTACCACGACCATAAATTCCCAAATCCAAGTCGACTAGTCGATATCTTCAGATGCCACTACCAAACCTCAGCTCACTATTCTTACATGTAAGGCTAGTTCCAACCACTAAGGAACACAAAAGGTTATGTATTTACTTGGAAACAGAAAGAGTACACTGTCCATAACACCAAGGTAGCGATGGTTGGCTGAACAAACTACTTCCCAACACCAGGTTATTTCATCACCTATGCAGTTTATCTCCTGATGATGCTGTAAAACTTAACACAGCTCAAACTAGTCAAGTATGATGCCAAAGCTTATAACCCCTTCAGAAATCATCAGACGTTGCATAAAACATTCCAACTCCTAACTATCTTTGTCAGGGTCTAGCTTAATTCGCATCATATTTAAGGTATTCAGTTGACACCTGCTGCAGATAAGTGACACCTGCTTTTCCTACCTTGTGAATGGTAGCGCCAAGGCCGGCCAGTGCAGACAAGACATCAATGTCCACCTTCCTGCTGTACGTCTGGCCGGTTACAATGTAGGACCTGCAATAGAATTGACAAAAATCTAACATTCAAGTAACAATTAGTATCACAAGGACTTTCATTCAGAATGGGGTAACTTTACCCCTTTCATTACCGCATTGTTTATTGACTTGGCTCTCCACAGGACCAAATTGTTTGCTCAGTCATGCGGAAATCACCAGAGCGTGAACAAAATGACCACAAGTCCAAAACTCACTTTTTTCAACCCAGATTTTCACTGCCAAGGAGTGTTTTAAATCATAGGTATTGTGTGTAAAGTTTGTTCCTTGAACCTTACTCTTTTATGTGATGTAAAAATGAAGTCCATGTGTGAAAATATAAGAATGCTGTTTTGTCCATCTGGTCCCATTTATCAAACTGCAAGCCATTTCACCACATGACAAAATGGCACTCCATACCTCAAATTGTGCGTGGATACTTCTGAAGCACTTTTCTCATTTTTTTGTAATGGTAACACTGTGAATAAACTACACCATTAGAATGATCCGAAAAAAACTCTTTCATCTGGAATCAGCAGGGGGGTTCTTGTCAACAAAAGTCGCCCATGGTAAGGAAAGGGTTAAGTTGGTGGGTCAACTTTTCTGGGGTGCGTGATCTTTTCAGTAAGGCTCAAGGATTGAAATGATTATTTTCCATAGCTTTCTAGAGAGGTGCACCTTGCTTTTAGCTTGTGCAAAGGTTTCCAGGGAAGCACTGGTGAAAAAAGGTTGTAAGAGTAAAAAAGGCTCAGAAAAGGGGCCCCAGTCTATTCTGAGATCAAATCCTGTACTAGACAACAGCATTTTGAAGTAATTGTTAATCTTCTCCCAGATTTGCAGATACTTTGCAAGTATTCATTCTTTGGATTTAACCAGGGGACTATTATCTGTGTCCATGTCCGTAAGTGAGGCCTGCTGTCCAAATACATTTTATCCGCATGCCGCTAGCCACCCCATTGTTGGGAAGATACTCCTACCTAGGTGCCTAAATTGTACTTGTGTGAAAATAAGGTTACATAATAAAATCACTGGTGGATTTTGGTTGATCTAGCGTGTTGGGCTTAAAGGGGCGGTTGCCCTTGTTTCACCTAATAGTCTACTAATAGTCTACAAGGACAACAGCATCATATAGCGCTTAGAAACGTAGTATTAAGCGCAGTATAAACGTTTGCTATTATTATTATTATTATAATGGAGGGCTGCTCAGAAACAAAAATTACTCTGTATTGGAGGTGAAAGTTATCACAAGTCATCACAAGTCAAACACAAATTATCTAGTCCCACTTGACAAGCAAGCTCTTCAAAAGAGACTGTGCCAAAGGCATTCCTTTGTCATTGTTCATCTCATATTACCTGAAATGAAATCTAAATTCAGGTTAACTTGTGGTTTGACTTGTGATGGACTTGATTTAACATCGCCCTGAATACATTTTTTCTTTGGTATAGTTTTCCGTTATTTACCTCTGGAATCCCGCCATTTCTGTCACCAGCCTGTCCAGTCGATCCACCTTCTCCCCGTCCCCGTCAAACAGTGCCAGGAAGCTGGCCTGGGTGCCCGTCGTGCCCTTGACCCCACGGAAGCGCAGGTCATCCCTGACCCGGGTCAGATTCCTTAGGTCCATCAGGAGATCTGAGAGCCACAGGCAGGCCCGCTTGCCCACTGTGGTCAGCTGTGCTGGTCTGTCAGTTCAAAACACAATGCATCATCATTAACAACAATGCTTTTTGTTTTGGTTGGGCAACCTTTTTCAAGCATGAGAGACATTAGGAAGCGATGCTGCTTTGTTATACACGGGCATGCAACTGGAAATTAAGAAAACAAGAGGAAATTCCAAATCACACAAGACTTTGTACAGTAGTTTTCAATTTGAAGCTGAAGCATTCAGCTGAAGTAAAAATGAGGAAATCAGCGGATCCGAGGAAAAGTTGCATGCCTGTACATACACTTTTTTGAGATAAAAACCTTGACTCTGTGTCTAAGTAGCCTTTAGTCAAGTCCCACGCGCTTACCCAGACACGTGACACACTCCAGATGCTGACACGTAAAAAGACTAGCACGAGCGGCGTAGCCGCGAGGGCCTTTACCATCTCGTGGAGAACGCTTATGTTTTTCTTTACATTTGTCTACCTATTTGGTAGACATGCATAATGCATTACCCGTTGTGAATTGACCAATGAAAATGCAGAATTACTAACGTAAATCAGCCGTCGTCTGGCGCCAGACAGCACGCACGCCATGGCGCGCACGCGTGCTGTTGCTGGTAACCGCAAACCACCGTTAGATGATTGGTTTATATTGCTTGATTTAAATAACGTGAATAAATGAATAAGTGATTATTTCCACGAGATAGTAAAGGCCCTCGCGGCTTTGCCGCTCGTGCTAGTCTTTTTACGTGCCAGCATCCGGGGTGCGTTACGTGTCCGGATGGTCCGGGTATAGGCGCGTGGGACTTGACTAAAGGCTAGTGTCTAAGGGACAAAGAGTCCTCTACATTCAACAAGTAGAATTGAATTACATGTATAGTTCACGTTGTTACATGATATGTTTTAATATTAAACACACATGGGCAATTCCAGCGTTTTTTTGAAAAGAAGTGTAATGTCAGTGATAAAGCCAATTAACCAGGATATCTTATTAATGATGTAGAGAAATGATCCCAAAACTCCTAGTCCGTAATCTCCTTGATCATTACTACATGGAGATGTATAAAATTTGAAAAATACAGTTTCATGTTTATTCACTGAGTTCTTAACAGCCCTGACAAGGACATTAAAAAACGTTGGACTTGCCAATTGTTTGTTCTTACACTGTTATTCTGTTTCTATGACAGAATTAATACATACTTTTGGACATGAATTACTAAAACACCCATTTTTCTAGAAAGGAAAACTGGCTTTGAATGCATTCGTGGGTGCATATGAAACCAATTTAGGATGGATTATCAAATGTAGTAAATATGTTCGCAGGACGTCAACCGTGACACTAAAAAAATAGCCTTTTTTAACTCCTCAAAGACAGTGGGCGGCCGCTAATACTTATTGGAATGCAGTTGCCAGCTGTGGTATACCCTGACATGGGGCTAGTGGGTAGTTCTACAGCTGCTGCTTTTGTGCAGTCCCGCTACCACACAAAGGCTGTGCAGTCACGCAGTTTGCTCTATGTATGGAGGAATGCCCCCATTACACGCCATCCTTAAGGAGTTAAGCAAATGTTTGATCATGCACTGCACTGGAAACCTCAAAATAAAAGCCTAAAATAAGGCCAAAAAAAAAAAATAAGTCGGTCTCTGGTCAGCGCGCGCGTCGATTTTAATCATGCACGTCAATCTTTTTTTTTTCCAAAATGTTCCGTGGTAGCTCCAACAGCGCCCTATATTGCACCTCCTCAATTTTTTTTTACCAAAGAGCACCAAGGAATGGGAAATTGCACCAAGGCAAATGATCGAGAGCACCAAGGCAAATTATGGAGGACACCAATGTACATGAGGACACCAAAAAAGCAAAATAGTATCACACCTTGTCTGTACAATCCAAGCTTGAAGAAAAAAAAAAAAAAGCAAAAAAAAAAAAAAAAAAGCTACGTCCCTGCGTCAATTCCGGAACTTTGGTCTGACCAGAGACCGAATATTTTTTTTTTTGGCCTAAAATAAATAAACAGAACAGCACATACTGATAATGTGTGAATCCCAACGTTGGTAAGTTCTTCTGAGCTTCGGCAAAGCTGGCAAGGCGCTGGATGCATCGAGCAAGACGGGGCAGTAGGAGGTTGAAGGCATCACTGATAACAATCAGATCCTGAGTGGGGGGAAAGGAAGAAAGGATGAGTTAGCACCAGTTTATGCAATCTATACCACATCACAAGCTGCATCCAATTACCCTTAATCCTAACCCACTTATTGATTTAGGACCAGCCTGTTTTGGGGTTGAGCCCACCCAGTATATGGAAGGGATTGGGGCTTTGGATGGAACAGATCTGGCCAGGATTAACTCCACCAGGATTAACTCCACCAGGCTTCTGACCATGCCCTGGCTCATCACAAAGGAACCAATTTGCAAGGCACTAAGCCTCCAGTAGTCAACAATGACTGTGAGCTTCACATAGTTTGCGACAATAATCCCTCATACAATTGCCTTAAAGGGAATATACATCATTTGCTTTTGCTGTAATTTTCAGAAATGGATGGAATTGGGGGGTTGGAAATATATAGCAAATATAGTTACACTGACTTTTTTGAGGTTTTGGGTTCGAAAATGCTATAAAAACCAAGAAAAACAATCATTTTCCTGTAGTCTGGTTCCCTGACTCCATATAAGAAGAAACAGCGTAGTTTACATATATTGGGGAATTGTAAGGTCAAGGCACAAGTCTAGCTGGCTTGTACCCGTTCATAGGTGTGTAATCGATTGCAAACAAGTGCGATGGTCAATTGGGGCTAGTATTTGAAAAAAAGCCAGTTTTTTCCAACGCTGGTCGGCCGACCAGCGTTGGAAATTGATACAAAAATACCACTTTTCTTGAAAATGACAGTATACCAGGTGTCATGATTTTACAGGATGCTTTACACTGTCATTCACTAACAGTCCAGCAAGGTATTTCAAAATGATTTGGTAGTTTTATTTTTTGATGTTTGCAAATGTTGTATTTTCCCTTTAATGTACTAAGCTCAAATAAAACAAAAAAACATGCTTAGCATCCTGCTTCCCCCCCCCAAAAAAAATGGCCGGCCGACCCATTTTCAAAACGACTGGCCAGGCTATTTTTCAAGATAGCCACAAGCTTTTTCTTAAAATGACTACAACTTGGACTCAGAAAATGACATCCAAGCTTTAATTGGCCTAGATGAAACAGACAAAGGGGCCAAAGTGATGTCACTTCTTAAAATTTATCATTGTTTCAGTTATAAAAAAAAAAAAAAAGAGGTGGCCTCCAAAAGGAAGCGGGTGGGGCACTAAACATGCTTTTTGGGCCAAGGGAATGCTTCTCCCTTCCCAGAAAAGCAAAACACAAAAGAAGAGGGAAAAAAAGAAAAAAACAAGATGCGAAGTCATATTGTTGTTAATCTAATACATATTTAACAACATGGGCGTCGGCAGGGGTGTAAATGGGGGTTGGGTGGGGTTGAGGATTTTTGGAAATAATATGCTTTGCCCCCCCCCCCCCCCCAAGTAATGATTCTACAGTGGTGTAACACATTTGAACTGAAGGTTAAGCTCAGAGATACCGATACCAAATTATTAGTTTCTCTGAATACAACACAAAGAGTAAAAAAAAGACACAGAATAATTTTATTGCAATCTTCTTTACCGTGTTGTCTCCGACGTAGCACGAGGTGGCTCCGAGATGGATGATGGAGGCAGCACGGGGGCAGCACTGAGCAAAGGTGTAGACGTGGGCCATGACATCGTGCCTCCTCTTTCTCTCCTCGGCAGCTGCCATTTCAAAGTCAATGTTGCCCACGTTGTCCTCCATCTCCTTCAACTGGTCATCTTTGATGTCAAGGCCAATGGTCTGTTGAGAAAGAGAGGAGTAACAAAAAATATCATAAAAAACAACACAAAAAATACTCGGAGGTTGGGGTTCCGTTTTGTAAACTGTAACCTTAAACGAGCACTTGGTCCTGAAATCCCTGAAAATTTTATGTTTTGGATTGTTTACTAAGCTTATTTCAGACATGTGGTTGAAAGGACACCAAACTAATGTCTTTACGTTCCCGAGAAAAGATGAAAAAAAACATGCTTGTTTACATCGGACATGACGGAGTATGAATACTTTTTTCGTGTCGTTCTCAGTGTACGCTATACACGTTGTGTGTCTCGGGAACAGCGGTGACCAATCACCAATGCAAAAGAGTGGTTTCGTCATAAAGGCAAACACTTTATGAATGAAATTACAACTAGCATCCAAAGTACCAAACAGCTCGAATTTATGGGGTCGCAAAAGTGAACCCCATGTTTTGGGGGGTGCATTGAGTTCACTGCTCCGTTTTTAGCATCACTGTAACTTGTTTCGTAAATTCCGTAAGACTGTAATCGGATTTAATTTGCTTAAGGGGAATATACATCATTTGCTTTTGCTGTAATTTTCAGCAATGGATGGAATTAGGGGGTTGGAAATATATAGCAAATATAGTTACACTGACTTTTTTGAGGTTTTGGGTTCGAAAATGCTATAAAAACCAAGAAAAACAATCATTTTCCTGTAGTCTGGTTCCCTGACTCCATATAAGAAGAAACAGAGCAGTTTACATACATTGGGGAATTGTAAGGTCAGGGAACCAGTCTAGCTGGCTTGTACACGTTCATAGGTGTGTAATCGATTGCAAACAAGTGCGATGGTCAATTGGGGCCAGTAGGCCCTATTTGAAAAAAAGCCATTTTTTTCCAACGCTGGTCGGCCGACCAGCGTTGGAAATTGATACAAAAATACCACTTTTCTTGAAAATGACAGTTTACCAGGACAGGTGCCATGATTTTACAGAATGCTTTACACTGTCATTCACTAACACTACAGTCCAGCATAGTCCCAGTAACTTGGACCCAACTTATCGCCTTTTTTAACATTTGGACATGGTCTGGCGATAGTAAGGTCCAAGCTAATACCGCGACCTGGACAACACCGTCCCGAAAACCAACATTTTCCAACAAAAAACATCAGATTTCACCTTCAGAACGGCCTCCAAATTACTAGATGTATGCCACCTGAGGTACAAGTAGACATCGATGATTAAGATGGTTGTACTGAAGTTTACTTACGATCCGGAAAAAAGTGAAATTTTCCGTTCATTTCGGAGAGCTCCCCTCGCGATCTTGAACACGTTAAATTTCCGATCGTGTTTAATGTTTGAACGACGCGATTTCTTCTTCATGCCCAGCATACATTCGATGGTCCCCGTATCCAGAGTGCGATTCCGTTACCGAGCGCGCGCGATGCATCGATTATGATAATGAGTCACGTTTGTAAACACATACATGTGCATTTCGAACTGTAAAAGGGAATCGGGAACCAGCTTGAACTGGTATCCGCCATAAAAGCTGCGCTAGTTCCCGACTCCCTATTATCGTTTGAAACGCACATGTGTTTACAAACGTGATCCAGTCTACTCATTATCATTATCGATGCATCGCGCGCGCTCGGTAACGGAATCGCACTCGGGATACGGGGACCATCGAATGTACGCTGGGCATGAAGAAGAAATCGCGTCGTTCAAACATTAAACACGATCGGAAATTTAACATGTTCAAGATCGCGAGGGGAGCTCTCCGAAATGAACGGAAAACTTCACTTTTTTCCGGATCGTAAGTAAACTTCAGTACAACCATCTTAATTATCGATGTCTACTTGTCATGCTTGTACCTCAGGTGGCATATCTAGTAATTTAGAGGCCGTTTTGAGGGTGAAATCTGATGTTTTTTGTTGGAAAATGTTGGTTTTTGGGACGGTGTTGTCCAGCTCGCGGTATTAGCTTGGACCCTACTAATCGCCAGACCATGTCCAAATGTTAAAAAAGGATAGTGGATATTTTGCCGGAGGTAATGACGGCAAACTAACGATTACTAAAGGTTTGCCGGTGGCAATCCATATCAACAGAGGGCGCTGTACTCTTTAAAATAGGGCTGAATTATAAGATGTATTACATTCCCACCAAAAGTTGTGTAGCACATTTGGTGTAATGGTTAAGCAAAGGCTCTAGTAAGCGGGATGACTCGCGTTCGATTCCGACCGCACCACATTTTAAAGTTTTTTTTTCTCATCCCCAAATAAATAAGAATATTCTTCTTTTATTATTTTAACATGTCTCAAACATTTTTTGCAGAGTATTACATTTTCTTTTTCAGATTTGTGGCTCTGGAGGATTTTTTTTAAACATGTTAAAAGGGAAATAAAGTCCGAAATTATAAAATGGTCTGAATCCCATCTTGTGAATACGAGGTAACAACGATAATTTTGGCATGGAGCCAGACTAAAACTTGTCACCGGAAAATGTTTAAGTAAAAAAAAACAGTAACTGCGCATGTTCAGTGCATATCCGGCAAACTAACGTTTACTAAAGGTTTGCCGTCTCCGGCAAAATATACAGTCACTGCCTTAAAAAAGGCGATAAGTTGGGTCCAAGTTACTCGGACTAAGTCCAGCATGGTATTTCAAAATGATTTGGTAGTTTTATTTTTCGAAGTGGCTATCGTTACGGCACTCGTTGTTTAGCGCCCTCTACGATATTTTTTTGGTACGCACGCAGGTATATAATTATTTGTTTCCACACGTTTTATCGAGTAGTGCGCCAGCTCAGCCGATAGAGGGTAGGATTTTGCACCGCGAGGTTGCGGGTTCGGATCTCAGTTTTGCACTCGAATTTTTTTCCTTTTCTAACCTGAGGCTTTGGAGGATTTTTTTTAAAAGGGAAATAAAGTCCGAATTTCATAAAGTTCAAATTCACTTTTTTCCTTCTAATTTTATATTTTCTTGTCATGTTTTTTTTATAAAAGTTGCCAGGTTGCAGTCTACCGTAACGATAGAAAATGGGAAATGCATTACGGCTGCCGTAACAATAGCCACTGCGTTTATTTTTTGATGTTTGCAAATGTTGTATTTTCCCTTTAACAACGCTATAGACGCAACCTCCTCAACCACAACTTGTTGCGTTGCATGTAATTTGAAACACCATTGCATTGGGTGCTGTAAAAATGGTCACTGCACCTGTTGAGCTTTCGCAAGATAAAGCCAAAGTTTCCGCCATGTCGTGAATTTCTTCACATCACTAAAGTTGAAAGCCATCTCGGGGGAAGCATATCTGGCCACCAGAGGCGAACGATACTTTCTGTACTCGTCTTTACAAGGAAATTTGTTGTCCATTTCGCCAGCAGAATTCTGAATTCCCGCCATGTCTTTCGCGTCCAAGTCGAGTATTGATTGGAACTGACTAGTATGTGCACGCAAAATGCATCATCAGCATGTCGTTTATGGTGCCTGGGAACCCGTCCATATGACATCTAAACACGTGTAAATAATGTCGCCGCAAGAGGTCGCTGTTCAAAATACATGGACGAGCGTCAGTTCAGGGTGCACGCAATCAAATAATTTCCCACCGACAACAGTTGTAAATGCCCATACTTCAAAATTCTTGTAAAAATACTCAAAACTCTCACAGGTGTTCGGGCTGCATAGAAAATGCTGGTCATTATGTCATCTTTCCCTTTTTTTTCAATTTCTGGTGGGTTGACGGATGACTATTCGAGAAATTTTCACTCAAAGAAAACCCTAAAACGAGTGATGTTTCCCCAAGCGGTGGAAACGTGTAAAACGGGTCCCTCCACAATACTACTAAATTCGGGATCGGTGGCATGCAATATGCCCTGAATTGGAAGCCCCAAGTCCGGGCAAACTGTTTATTTCCATATCTCTTCAATTTCCTAATTTCATGGCTCTCAGGAACTGTGTAATGTAAAATATATTGAGTGTGTAACTTTTTTTGGACGGGCGGATGTCATGCCATAGGCCTACTTTTGCAGGTGCACCCTTGAATTCTTGTGCGCGTTGGGTACGAGTGAACTCAACGCCCTTTGTTTCTGACAATTGACTTGCCAAGAGGTAATGACGTCACGCTTTCTTTACCTGCGCGCGTATTTAATTCAGACATTGTGGTCCTCGTTTGCACCTGTGAGAAAAAAAGCCTAATCCTGATCATAAACTTCCAGCATTAATTGGGACTTGTGCAGAATATTCATAAGGCTATAAGTCAACCTAAACTCATGAATAACAATGATGCATGAACAAAAGTCTTGGGCACTTCTTAAAAAGGATACCCTAATCCTTAATCCCTAGTCATACTGAGTGTGCAACTCCAACTATTGTGTTAAGCTTAGGCATAAGAGTGAACGCAGAAAAATCCCTTACGCAAGATAAAACGTACCACATGGTAAAAATACACAAGTTCAAAAATCAATCATTGGCTGAAACACATAAGTAGTAAGGAAAAGTCAAAGCAAGTGTGTCTTTACACCTTTTGGTACCTAGAAACACAATCAAGAATATTGAACTTTCAACATCTCAAAACTTCAGGAAACTCACAAATTTGCCTGTGTTCTTAAACAGCAACCTTAAGTAAGAAGCACCTTCATGAACAAACTTAAAAAAAAAAACCCGGGAATTCAAGAGCGATAATGGGAACACTTCAAAAGAGCTGCCGAATGAACAGCTACAAAAATCAATTTCCTATGGCAAATGTAACTGAAAACTACAGGAAACACACACACACACACACAAAACTTCTGCTTAAAATGAACTCAGCAGCTACGAAACAAAGCATTCCAGTAGCCCAAAGATCAGAAATAAAAGAACAATAATATGCAACTTGAAAGATTCTGCAAAAGCTCTGGGAATTCAGTCTCTATCTCTAAACTTCAAAACTCTCACAAAAACTTGGCTAAAAAAGTAACTAAAGCGAGTAACAAGTACAAAATACTTCTCAAACCATCAAGGGAAAGAATGTTGTTCCTCAATGCACATAACTCATATGATTTAATACACGAATATAATGATTAATAATTGACAATAGAAAACAAATAAAAAAAGTAAGAAACTCACCAAGTCCACTGCAGGCCTGGTCTTTCAAGCCCCGCAGACTTGGACACCAGCCGGACACCAGAGTGTATGTGTGCACTCACTGACTGCTGACCGGATTACTGAAACCAAGGCTCAATTCCCGCTCAAACATGCCTGTGCCTGGTCAAGCCACAATTACAGGGGTACACACAATGCAGTTTGTGCTGGGCAACTCAGGGGAGCCACCCCTATTCAGTACACTAACGGGCTTTACATGATAAAACGCACTTTAATTTGGGCGAGAGTCATTATAGCTACGAGAGCCTAATCGATGAAACCACATGCCATCATGCTATCCGAGCTCTTCTCACATCTCGACTTGACTATGGCAACTCCCTTGTTCAAGGATTATCCATCAAAAGCATCAAACGCATGCAACGACTCCAAAACAGGACAGCCAAACTAACTTTTATGGCAAAAAGTCAGACCATGCATCAACTCTTTTTCAACAGCTTCACTGGCTTCCCATCAATGAACGAATCATTTTAACAATCACTTAAAATGGTTTGAGTGACAGTGCTTCATCTTATCTCACTGAACTCATCACCCCATACCAGCCGAATCGTACTCTCCATTCTAGTTCCGATACCAGAATCCTCACTAAACCCAAAACTTGTATTTAATCTCAAAAAGTGTGTATGCGGCTGCTTCCAACCTTTGGAATAATCTTCCTCATGAAATCCGTCATGCCACATCCCTTACTGACTATAAGCTATTGCTTAAAACACATCTCTTCCAGACTTAAGGCCAAAAAAAAAAGTCTCCGGTTTCTGGTATGGAGCTTGCCCAAAAAGTGGTGCGGCGACGCGGCTTTTTTTTTTTTTTACCTGATTTTTTTGCTTCATATGTGTGCTGATGACTGCAAATGGTGCCCGATTAAACATAGTGCAAATATATGGGAGTCCAGAGAGGCCACATAAAGCTTATTCTCGACCATAACCCAATCTAAAAACACGTTAAAATTGTGCAGCAGCAGGATTCCAGTCAAACCAGTGAGTTTGGCGGTTTTGAGACATCATCTTTCATTGAAAAAAAACTTTTACATTTTGCCGACGCGCATGGCTACGGCGACGCGCGCGCATACCAGAAACCAGAGACTTATTTTTTTGGCCTAATTGCCTCATAGGTTGTTATTATTTCCATTCTCCGCTTGGTATTAAACACTTTAATTGGTTTCTTGTGTAAAGCATTGTGATACCAGTTTGTGTAAGAACGCTATGTAAGTGCCCTGATTATTATTATTATTATTATTATTATTAACAAGGAAACCGAGATGATAATCTGAGTCCCAATTGCCTTCAACATAATATTAAAAGAGATGCGAACCCCTATCTGAGTTCTGCGTCTACCACTGATAATCAAACATTCACGGCCTAGCCACATACGGCTACTGGACAACACCCAACCACATAATTAGGAGAGAAAGATTGGACACAGTGGCCCAAGAGCGGGGCAATGGTTCAGTCCAGCAAGCCCCTTTTGCCTAATTTCCCAAGGTTCGTCACTCCGTACCCCGAGCAGACCCGTCTCATTATTCCGTGTCGATGTTCAACCCGAATCGGGGAAACTGAGACCGTATCTGAATCTCTTCTCGTGGGTCTTCGACAAAATATAGCGGTGGAAGCCGGCCGTTTCTGTCTCCTCCCCCCCCCCGACAAAAATTGCACGTGCGACCCGTAAAGGCTGATAAGTTTAGTTTTCCGATTAGTCTCATATTAGGCTTACTAAAAGACATGCAAAATGCGCACATTCGATAATAGTACTCAGTAGACACTTTATATACAAAATAAACAAAATTCGACTGCAGCTTTGAATCCAATAATGTTTGTACCTCGGTGTCTCACTGTCGTTGTGCTGGCTGTAGATTTAATAAATTCCAATTTCTTTTTTTCCGCTTGCCAGTCTTTCACTTGAAATTAACACTTGTCAATTCTAGTATCGCATACCGCCCCTTGTTTAATTCTTCCTTCTTCTTTTCCTTGTTTTCCCATTTGGCTTTTTTTTTTACCTAGGCATATCATACGTCCCGCCCCGTGTTTTTCTTTAAATAAAAAATAATGAAAAATTGATAGGATCTCGTTTTCCTGTGGTAGGATGGCTCTGTAGAGGTGCTAGTCACCTGTTCCATCTTGCCACTCACTGGCTTAATCCGTATTCTGGCATAAACTCTTTTTTAACAATTTATTGAAATTGTAAAAAAAGTGTATTTTTTAATCTGTGGTTTTGTATATCTTGTAATATTTTTTTTATCAGCCAGTAAAGAAGTGTAAATAAATATAAATAAATAAATAAATACGGGCGACCGCAGTGCAAAAGAATTTGGCAGTTTCTTCGCCATCCCAGTGGCCATTTGCAAACTTTGAGCGTAGTAAGAAGTGTGAAAGAATAGAAAGACTCTCCGAACACGAGGTCCTGAAAATTGCTAGGCCCAATTAGGTCTGGTGAAAAGTTGGTCCTTGAATGGAGGATGAAGCGAGTATTAAAATGATAGCTCCGTGGTCCTAAAGGCAAAACTAACCGGCGCAACCCTTTGCGAAGGTTCCTCTAGTTGTATAAGGCCTACAGAAAAGTTAAATACCATTAGGCCAAAAAAAAAAAGTCTCCGGTTTCTGGTATGGAGCTTGCCCCAAAAGTGGTGCGGCGACGCGGCTTTTTTTTTTTTTTTACCTGTTTTTTTTTTTTTTTTTGGCTTCAAATGTCGGCTGATGACTGCAAATGGTGCCCGACTAAACTTAGTGCACATATATGGGAGTCCAAAGAGGCCACATAAAGCTTATTCTCGATCATAACCCCATCTAAAAACACGTTAAAATTGTGCAGCAGCAGAATTCCAGTCGAACCAGTGAGTTTGGCGGTTTTGAGACATCATCTTGTATTGAAAAAAAACCTTTTTCATTTTGCCGACGCGCATGGGTACGGCGACGCGCGCGCATACCAGAAACCGGAGACTTTTTTTTTTGGCCTTACGGGGGTAGGCCTATATGCAGGAAAATATCCTCAAAAATAGTGGCTGCGCAACCACGTGTCAGCAACGGGTTCACAGCAAGCGATTGTGAAACTTCAGATGTAGTGATGCGTGACACACAAAAGTTACCTTGAGCATAGAAGCAGGCGCCGCAGCAGGTAGGTTCTTGCCAACACACCGATAATAAGCCAAAGGATCGAGGCTTTGTTATCCATCTATTCATGATCTATCCTGCATTATGTAACAGTGCATTGTTGCGATCGGCATGAACGTGGAGGGATGAAGCAGGCATACATGGTGCATTGCTACACGCTGGCTTGTTCCGCCGAAATTGTCCTTAGACCACAGCTGATTCTGGGATGATCAAGTTTAGCCTAAAGGTGAGAAATTTCACGCCTTAAACACTGGGGCGTAGGTCAACGTGCTCAAGATCGTCATCCATGACATGACTTCAGTGGAATCATTGCAGACGGAAAATTGGCCAAGTGGTTTCACTTGATCACATGCAACCAAATACTTTGCCCCAATAATGCTTATTGAGCAGACTGTCATTAGGTGTTACCTGTTTTTGATTCAGGCTTTGGATGAGTCATCAGCCTTAATTTTCTGGAAGGTCTTCATGTCTCATTTCGCATCACATGCACGAGTGCCACGCCTGGTTTTGTGTACGTTTACATGATCAAACTTCAAACGGCAGTATGGAAAAGCGGAATTGACGTAATATGCACACAATGCAGTGCTTACGGTGGAAGACATGATGAGGAATGCGGTGCTGTTCAGATATAGGCCTAGCGGTGTGTCCTGTCGTCAGAATACGTAATTTGCTTTATGAAGATGGCAGAATTTAGAGTCAGTTAATTGGGGAATTTTCCTTTAAGTGATAAATCTGTGAATGTGACTGACTGTCTCTCTACTTCCTCCTTCACTCCAATCCTCGCCAAAAGATATCATATCATATTCCATTAATTTTTACAGCATCTCTTTTGTATAGACTCCATAGGCTTGGGAAACACATCACCATCTGCAGTGAAGTTGACAGAATCAGTGAATCAGCAATCATGAAACAGGTGTGCATGAAAAAGTAGAGACTGTAGTTTTTTTTAGAGAATGAATTTAAACAATGTCTTACATTAAATAACATCCCACATACTATTGACTCATCAGGCATGCCAAATCTTATTTGGGAGAGAACTCAATATAACGGATGGTGTCGGGAGCGGGCATGTGAACTTTCCGGTATTCTTACATCCCTCACCTAACTGAAAATAAATGTCAAGAAAATAAAAAATAAAAAAACGGAAAATTACCAACTCTCCTTGATTTGAACGCTGTAAACACAGGTCCATCCTCTATAGGATTTACGTAAGTAAACTTAAGTGACAAGAGTCAGAAAACATTCTTGTACTATGACAAGTAGGATGTAATACACCTCAGGAGCAAATGTTACACGGAACCTTTATGAAATAAGACCTAACTGTTTCCTTCTTTGATTTTTAAAAAAATATATTAGTCAACGCTCAGGTTCATGTTGGTGGTTGCTGTCTGTGTGGCTGTTGGAGGCATGTACACAGCTTGGAAGTCTGTCGAGAAAGCAGGTATGATCACAAGTTAGCTAAGGATGCCTCAGTTTTTACCCAATTAAAGGAATTTGCAATTGGCCTGGTGGTCCAGTGTCTGTACAGTGGATATGATTGACATGTAATGTTTTAGATCGTTTTTCCCTCAAAAACTATCTTCTGCTAACAGTAGTCATGAAGCTTATTAGTTTTTGGAGAAAATTATCTATTCGCTTCATTGTACCATACAGATTGGTTGAAACTGAACTTTATCAAAAACTCAAGAAATATAAGCTAGTGGTCCTGATTAATGCATGCGGGGACACTTCATTTTTACATTTAAGTGAATGGACCCCAAAGTAAATTTTGCATGTTTAAGGAAGGAAAGTAGAGCCCAGTGGTCCACATTACTTAGGCCTACGTGGGGCTTGATACCCTTGGAGAGTTAAAAGTACAATTAAAGAAATTATGCCATTCTAGGAAAATGATTCTTGGAAAAGTCCTAGGGAGTTAGGGTAAAGAGAAAATTTGCAGGGTATGCTAATTGTGGTGTGGTAAGCGTATACATGTAAACGAATAGGTAATTGCAGCCTATTTGCTTGCCCGAAACCCAATACTGTGTGTTTGGTCAATGATCACAATGTAAAATACGCCATCTTGTACTTTAACAGGGCAGACAAGGCAGGAATTTCTTCGCACACAAAAGCGAGCAGCCATGAAAATAGGATATCTGCTCTTGAACAAAACCCGCAACATGACACGGGCTCACGACAAAAAAGTCTTGATTGACGTGGACAAAGGCAAGCCCGACTTCGACAACCTCTTCAAGCATCTTGTTGTCGTGACGGCGTTCTCTGAGAATCACTACAAGGAGGCCATGGGGATGATCGGCTCAGCTCAGAAGGCCATGCCACAGACTAGGATTGTGGTCTTTGACATCGGGATGAAAAACAAAACATTACAAAAGGTGAGTTAAAAAGTGATGTAATGTTAACCCCAAGCTGGACTCGAACCCACAACCTGCAGATCCCACTAGATTCCCACAGATCCCCACAGATCCGAGTTCAATGCTTGAGACCCCACTCCACAATGTAGAGATATTCTTGTCTTCTCCATACCAAGAGTTGGTTATACTTTACCAGGGGCCAAACTTTGCATTCTCTCAGTAAAAGATTGAAAACATTTCGAACTTGAGTTCTCAAGATAAAGCAACACTAAGCTTATTTGATCCCCTAATGATCAACTAATCCACATCAGTTTTGTAAATCAGCAGAAGTGTATTTTGAGATACCTTCTCGTTTCAAACTACTTGTGCAGTTGACTATCCAGCTGTCATGGTCATATAAATGCTGACATGATGGCCTCATTTCATTTGTTATGGATACTGAAATGTCGCAAAACCATTATGATGACCTGATCTGAATCACTGATATTAAACTTTCTTGTGTTGGTCTCTTGTGATCAAAGATCAAGACACTGTGTAATGTTGAGGTGCGGAAGTTCCAGTTCCAGAAGTACCCAGCCTATGTGTCAAACCTAGCCACCTATGCCTGGAAAGTCATTATTATTAAGGTAAGCACAGTACTTACTATCATGAAAGTTTTGACTCGTGAGTTTCACAAGCCAATAGTCTTTTTCTGTAGGTTACACCCCCTCAATGGTGAAAGGGACAAGGATGCCAATATTGAAGGACACATAAGTGGCATTGCATAATGTGCCCAATGGTATCAGGTGCATCCCACTAACACAAAAATGTTATAAGTTTCTGTGCAAATTGGCAACATAAACACATTGCACCATCCTCAGTGCTGAAAATGACAGAGCAAATTTTGAAGGACACTTGCATTTGTGTATCTTGACACAAGTCCTTCATTTGTAAGGGCGACAAAGCACCTTCTATACCATCCTGCATAGAGTTCGTACATGTACTTTCAAACTGGAATGTGCTAGAGGATGCCATTCACTCATCTGCAACATTAATTCTAGCAACATGTACCATGGTTGAGACATTTGCTTGGTCATGCACGACAAGTCAGTCCATCATTTAATTGGTATTGGGCTTTATAAGTTGACCTTGTGACAGAAACTGTAAGGCCAAAAAAAATAAGTCGGTCTCTGGTCAGCGCGCGCGTCGATTTTAATCATGCGCGTCGATCTTTTTTTCCCCAAAATGTTCTGCGGTAGCTCGAACAGCACCCTCTATTTCCGCACCTCCTCAATGTTTTTTTTACCAAAGAGCACCAAGGAATGGGAAATTGCACCAAGGCAAATGATCAAAAGCACCAAGGCAAATTATGGAGGACACCAATATACATGAGGACACCAAAAAGCAAAATAGTACCCACCTTGTCTGTACAATCCAAGCTTGAAGAAAAAAAAAAAAAAAAACCGAAAAAAAAAGCCGCGTGGCCGCGTCAATTCCGGAACTTTGGTCTGACCAGAGACTGAATATTTTTTTTTTGGCCTAATCAGTGTTGCAGCTATAGCTATATGAACAGAGTATAGACATCCCACTCTCAGTGAAGGGGGAGGTCATCATCCTTGTTGAGGATGGATGTAACTACATCATTTACGTTTCTTTCTTTTTTCTATGCAGGAGGCCCTGAATGAATTTGGTGCGATATTCTGGTCCGATGCCTCCGTTCGCTTCGTGAAATCCCTTAGACTCCTCGTCCCGTTTGCTTGCGAGCACCACGGCTACCTGTCCCGCATTCACAGCTACAATGCTTCCACCACGAAACCCATAAAGCACAACTACTACATGACCGTGGATCAAATGTACAAAGCAATCGGCGTCGACAGGAAAGATTATTTTAGCTCCCCCTACGCCCCGCACCCGGCCTCCAATCGCCAGTTAGTCCTCAACAGCACTACTGTCCAAAGGAACTACTTGCAGCCTCTTTACGCCTGTGCCACGGACAAGAATTGTATCAGTCCGCCAGGAGCCAAGCACGGGCATAACCACCGTTTTGATGCCTCAGCCTTGATGCTTGTCATTCATAAATACTTTCCTGGAGAGTACAGCCGAGAAAACGACCATGTGAAGGATTTTGACGATGTGATGTACATGCACAGAGTATCGAACGATTGGAATAAGGCGAAGTTTTGTACAGACAGCGTACAAATCTAGTCCAATTTGCCTTGTAATTGCCTACAAAAATAAGTGTTTTCCATACTCCACAGAAGATTACCTCAAAGGAATTTGAAGTGTGGGTTCTAACTTTATGGGGAAAAATGGTTTTGTAAAACTTGAAGGGTAAAGTGAAGTGCAGAAGACTAGGAGTGTTAATGAAATTATTTACTTCAGAATTTCAATTCATGTGTGCCTTACTTTGACAAATGAAAATGTCATTGCAATTTTTTGTCTGTAGAATGTCGTGTCATGACATAAAGGTTGTTGAGAACTATATTTGAATTTCTTTCTTTTAGTGGACCTGTTAGTGTAGTGTATGGTCATCATACTGTTTTAACCAAAAAACCAGCAAAGGTGTTCATAAATTTAAAAAAAGTCTAAAAATTATTACGGTATTAGGTTTTAGTGGATATTTTCAAATATACCTTAAGCAATTTTTCATTTTATTATTTCACCACAGTATTGGTATGAAATGATCGCCAATCAAATTCCATGCCAACATATTAATGGAAACTATGCAAAATAGTTCATTCAAATGTGAATAGATATTACATGTCACAAATACAATTGTATGTTAATAAACGCACAATTCAACAGCAAGAAATAACTTTAAACAGGTAAAAGTATAGCTGTACATGTATTACAATTTGAGAGCATTAATTTAAAAGTACTTCAAGTGGTACTAGTTTCTAAAACTTGAACGTTTTCTGGCAATAAAAAAAAATCATTTTATTGAGTTTAAAAATGCATTATATTTGTATATACAGTGTACTTGAAAAGGAAAGTGTTATTTTTTTATATTGAGCTATAATTTCTGGGCTAAATTTATGAAAAACTTGATTTAGCTACCATTTGGAAATAATGGAACATGGCTTCTTTCTGACTAGATTTCTTCTGAAACATTATATTTAAAAAAAAACTACCTTTCGCTTATTGCAAAGTGCTTTAAAGAACGAAAGAAGGAGCTGAAAAATGGAGGGTGTTGCTAGGTATAGAAAATGTGGCAGTTGTACAAACTCCAAGATAAAAATTCTTGTGCACAAATTGCAGGCCACCGTTTACAGAGGGCGCACTTTGAAGAAAGTGGTGTTTAATTTGTGAAAACTTGTTGGCGCAAAAGTTGGAGCGGGTCACTATGATAAAAAAGCAAACTGAGACTAGAAGGGTACCGGCTAAGTTCCTCCGTATGAAAAGTGCACTGGATGGAGTAGATTTTGCTTCTATTTTGTGGGACTTGTGGAAATCAGACAAAGACTTAAATAATCAAGCCTGTACTTAGGAAGGTTGAGTATGTTGTCATTATTGAGTGGTTGCTTGCATAAAAAAAACTTAATAAGTTGACCCACAGTCGTCGATCTCGCAACGGTTGAGAATGAGTTAAATGTTGTTGGTTGAAAAAAAAAATAAGCCAAGAATCTGGGTTTTATTCGACCATGGAGCAAAGCAACTCCAGCATCTTTCGTTCAAAGCAATTCATCGATGAATTCAGTTTGCAAAGAGGGCACTTGAACTTGGACCAGCAAATCCCTTGCAACCACCCCAAGGATCTCCCCACCACTGATAGCCAGCCGGACGCTCCAAGGACGGGCATCGGACCTACTGGAACACTCGTCATTCCTAGACCCATTTGGGTACCACCACCGGGATTTCTCAACCATCCAGCGGGGGACTGGGCCAAATATTCCCCGTGGAGCTACCTAGCCCCCGTGTGCCCCCTTGTTCCAGCCGTTATTGGGAGTTCACCGTGGGATGTTGCAGACCCGACAGTCTGGCCGGCCAGCGGGCCGTGCTCTGAGGCACTGCTGGAGGCGTCCCGAGCGGCTGGCCTGATGGGCACGGTGGACTACTCAGGTGAGATTCATTGGCTTCTTCAAAACTTCCTCATTCATCCCCAGACAGACAGGAAAGTGGGGCTGGAGGTTGGGAGGGGGGATTGGCCCTTAACCATCATTAGTGCTAGGAATTATTTTCATTTTAACTGAAATCGTAATTATTGCTATCAAGCACAAACAGAAGATATAATCAAAATTTCCAAAGAAGATGTATTACAATGTAACTTAAGCTATGCTTCTTAAGATGAAATACATTGTAAATATTTTGTTGGAAAAATTCTAGCCACTTCTAGCATTGCATAATCTGTATTACTGTACCATGGCAAATTGGGTCTATTCACAATGTAGCCTAAAAAGAAAGAATAAAACAAAACCTCTAATTTAAACATGTAACTTGAAGTTGGCTCGAAAAGAAAAAGTACGTTTCGGCGTCTATTTACCAGACTCGTTGACGGGTCTGTTGCTGCTTTGCATATTCGAAATTGAGGGAAAGAGGAGAGAGTTGGAAGCTTATAGAAATAAAGAATACAAAATAATGTATAAGTTAAAGAATATAGGGAAGTATATTTTAGACTGCTCATTAATAAGGAAAAAACGTTAAAATATTCACACCCTCCCAGGCACGAAAACTGGACATCCCCATAACAAAGATCTGATTTTCAGCCTTTTCTGCAGAACATACTGAAAATGTCGGAAAAGTGGGGCAAGTGTAGTAAAATCTTATACTCGACCAAATTGTTATCGTTTGTCTAAAGTTATCCTGAGGCACCGTTTTGACGTGGCATCCCGAAGATATTCAATCTCTCATTTCACATCGATTGTTTCTACCATCGCAGAAGTTACGAGCTGTCTAATGAGACTTCGAGCGAAACAAAATCGGGCAACGGAAACTTGAAAGTTCAAACTTACTGATTACACATCAACACTTATTTCAATATTCGCTCGTGTAAAGCAATGCAAAATATTTTTGGCAGATTTAATGGCAGAGTATTTGAATACTCTGGCCTTTACTCTTTTTAATATTCAAAAGTACACGGCCGACCGTGTTTAGTAAAAGGAAGGGAAATTCAAATTGAAATGCAGCATTTTGTTTAACCTTCCAAACGTTAATTTGAGTCAATTACACCCTCAGGTGAAATATCAGCCGCCTAACGTTTAACACATCGACCCCATGCAATGCTGGTGGCCCAATGGGCTAGATAGAACGGTATACGTCCTTGGTACAATCGAAGACCACAAAACGAGATGTCGAATCAACAAACACGCGGGAAAACACAATAGACGACGTCGAGAAACTAGGCACCCGAGCGCCCTCACCTGACTCCACCGAGTAAACCAACCTACAAGCGTTTGAAAACAATTTCTTGGCCTTGTTTATTTACCGTAGAGGTGTCCAACTCGCCCCGGACGACAGCCGATACAGACACCTGTGGTTTCTCGCAGTCGACGCCTGGGTATGGGGTGCAAGTTGGAACACATTATACACCGTCATTATCGAATGGAAAGCTTTCAGCCAGGATTCGAATAATTCTTTTTTACAACAGAGCATTCTAGTACATGACACACTGTTCAGTTTACTGTTTCTTGTTACGATAGGGGCAAGGAACGGCGCTAACCGGAACAATGGGGCAAAACGCATTTTGTAAAAGAAGTTGTTGTTGTTTTTTTCTGCCATAGCCTACTACTACTACTACTACTACTAATATTTTATTCGGCAAATTGACATATATACACACAATTACAATAAATACATAACATTTGATATTAAAACAAAAGGATATACAAACAATAAGAAACCAAGTAAACACTACACACGAAAGACAGAACGTGGACAGTGCAGGGCTGCCGAGAAGAACAAAGTGAAACAAAACACTGTCGCCAATAGGGCGTGTCTCTCCAACCCTACACAATGACTGTGTATTGAAGGAGCTTCCAATATTATGTAGTAAAATTAATGAGCCAAAGGTCATCAGTAAGACCGTAGTCCAAGTTCCAACCTAAAGTTGTCTTTACTTTCAGGATAGTGCACCAAAATATTGTGTCCCGAGCAAACAAACGAACTCGAGAAAATGAAGGAAACATATATGTCAGTTACTTAAAATTTACTTTCAGAAAGTAAGCCCGCGTCGGAATTATGTATACTTGACCGTACGGCCGATTTAGCGTGATATTTGGACTCTTTGAAATATACTCTTTGGTTGTATTGCGCATGCCTAAGTGACAGCGATGACATGTCAAGTGTGAGGCCACATTAGGTAAAAGAGACCAGATTTCAGGAGTACAAATTTCATATGACACCGGCAGTGACACATGCATCTGTAGAACGTTACTTAAGACGCTTAAACTGTGTTCTTCATTAGGACGCCCTCTATAACTGGGAACACAAGGCTGGGGTGTGATAGAGGATTAAGGGGTGGCAAAAAAAGGTATTCGAACCACCCTCCCCAATACATAAACTACAGCTAATGGTGTATTACTGATTCTGTTTACTTATAGCGCAGATAAGAATGAAACCATTGCGCGTATGTCCGACCTTCAATGTTTTCCGGCACTATGCCGGTCTAGGGCACGCCGTTAGATCTCCTCGTAAAGATGCTGTAACCAATGTTTATTACCTGGTTTCATATTAATCTCCCGGCCGGAAAAGTCCAAATAATAAGAACTCTCTGGTCAGCCTACAGGGGGTTATGTGCAACCCAGCCCCATATATGTTTGCCTATTGAGGGCGCTGTTCTCCGCCCTGCAACAGCGTTCACCGGTTTGTGTCATACATTTATATATCAATATCTGGTTCAGTTTGCTTTTTTCGCAACTGTACATGCATAATTAGCGAATAATGAAGTACCCTATTCGGCAAGAATGAACTTTTGTTCACTGCTAGAGGGCCAGCATGTGCAGGGAGTGGGTAAACTAATCGCCCCGTAACCTACAAAAGTCAAGGACCCTAAACCGCAGGGCTAAGATGTAGCGTCTAATCAACACAGACCTGCACTCTTGTGTTTGAGTTTGAAAGACACAGGAGGTGAAATTACTTGAAAAAGTAACAAAACTTACCCCGCTCCGTAGTCCGACGTGTCACAGATCAGTAAAGGATACTCTTCCTTCCATTCCGTAATTCCGTGGATATATCCAGTCTTATGAGAAGCACGTCTCCAACATTCCTAGCCGGCCAGCAAGCTTGCAAGTGGCGGCCCACTGCACTGTCCAGTGGAATTCAACTGCAAACCTTACGAAGCAGTAATAGTTTTTAGAGAAAGTAGGCCGACTAAAAATCGTGGAAGCAATAGCCGGCGTCTGGCATTATGACAGTGCTGGTCGATCGTTCCTTTCGTTATGTTCAGACTTCTTTAGTCAACGTGAATTCCCTGTCGCTCGTCTGTACTGTCACTCGTAAAGCCCTTGGACCATAAGGTCCAGGGATTCGGTATTCACGGAATCTTAAACATGGAATGTTTATTCAGTGTTTGACCATTCATGTGCGTCCCCCACAAACAGCACCCAGCAAGAACAATCCCACATTTACCAGAAACAAGTT